CCCCACATAATCTGCACATATATCTTTTTAGACATTATTTCATGTTTGTAGTGTGTTCTGTATATTGTAATTTGTTCTTCCTGTTTTTATACTGTTGTTACTGTAGTTTTTGTAACTTGTACGTCTTGTACCCCTGACAGCAAGTCAAGTTTCCCACTTGGGATAATAAAATTACTGAACTGAGACCCCATACCTCAAATCATTACATTTATTACTGAAGACTTGGTTTAACCCCTTGACGCCTGAATGTATTTACAATCAAATAATAAAAAAAATTGCTTTCAAGCTGATGTTAAATTAAGTGGAGATTGTTCATTTGTCCAAAGTACAACAACAGAACAAAGTATAAAAATATAAATTCAGGTATGCTGTAGGTATGATGGAAATTAGGGACAACAGGCATAAACGAGAAACCAGTGCTTGCAAAAGGTCCCTAGGTACATATAGAATATGCACAAACAGGTATTGGGGAATACATGCACTATCTCGTTGTTAAGGGGTTATGGTTAGGATTAGGCAAGTAGTGGTTAGTCTCCAGGAAATTAATGCCCGTCAATGTAGTGGTCCTTTGAAGTGATGGAAATATGACTCTGTGTGTGTGTGTGTGTGTGTGTGTGTGTGGTTTGTAATAGAAGAGATAAGGTACAGACAATTTCCTGCATTGTTGTGATGGTGTGCCGCCTTCTATCTTTATATCTTTAGACAGAGACAGTGGTGGGTGTTTACTCTTGAAGAAAAAGATTTTAATGAGTAAGAAAATGTAAAAATACACCAGTCTCACCCAGTCTCCGCTTTAGTATAATCTATATGGAATAGGGCTGGACGATTTCACCTAAAATCACAATTAATTGAACATTTCACCTTGATTACGATTATTGAATCATTATTCTGTTTTTGAATGTTGTTATTTGTTGTTTTTTTTGCCCTCCATATTTCAGTGACAAGGTTTGAACTGTAAATATGCTCAACTATTAAAGCTTGGGTTTATTTATTAACAGATTTCAGAAATCCGTTAGGCTATCTAAATATTAATTAATAAGGTAATATTGACGTGCACATGACAGAGTTGGTGCATCGCCGCTATGGAACAATGCGGAACAAATGATTTTCTCCCACACACTGTATAAGCATGTTAAAACACGCTTTGTTAGCTTCCTCTCCTCATTCATCAAAGGGCATCTACGTGACAGGTGCTGTTATAAGAGCAGCAGAGTTGGATCTTTTCACGGAGTCACGTTACTGAACCCGCAGTAGGATGTTTTACATGAACACACACACACACAACATTACCAGGATTAAATAACCAACATGGGAAAATTACATCGGTTAGAGGCTCTGAATTTCGGTTTTGATTACTTTTCAATTAATCGTCCAGCCCTAATTATGGAACCAACTCATAATGAGGATGTTTGTATTTTCTTCTTTTTTTAAGGAAGATGAGCAGTTTTCATCATTCTCATCAGATATCTATCCATAAGTCTGTTGTTGTATGTCTTACCAGGTATACAATAATATAACAAAAAAAGCTCCACAAAGTTAAAATTCATCCAGTGGGTTGAAAGATTAAATGTCCTTTTGAAGTTTATTCCATTTACAGTATATGGTGCAAATTACTAAAAGGCAATCCTCCCAGGTTCAGTGTTTACTTCTGGGGAATCAAGAGTTTGCCAGTCCTGGGATTTTGTTCAGTGAATGATAGTTTGAGTAGAGAGATGAGACTTCTCTCAGACCAGATTCCAAGATATTAACAGTATCTCACAAAAGTGAGGACACCCCTCACATTTTTGTTAATATTTGATTATATCTTTTTATACAACATCACTGAAGAAATGAAACTTTGCTACAATGCAAAGTAGTGATTGTACAGCTTGAATAACAGTGCTGATTTGCTGTTGCTCTATATAAAGATGGCCTAAGCTTTAAGAAGATTGCCAAGACCTTGAAACTGAGCTGCAGCACGGTGGCCAAGCCCATACAGCGGTTCAATGGGACAGGTTCCACTCAGAACAGGCCTCGCCATGGTCGACCGAAGAAGTTGAGTGCATGTGCTCAGTGTCATATCCAGAGGTTGTCTTTGGTAAATAGACGTATGAGTGCTGCCAGCATTGCTGTAGAAGTTGAACGGGTAGGGGATCAGTCTGTCAGTGCTCAGACCATACGCCACACACTGCATCAAATTTGTCTGCATGACTGTCGTCCCAGAAGGAAGCCTCTTCTAAAGATGATGCACAAGAAAACCCACAAACAAGCCCAAGAAGGTTAAGGCAGTGCTGGGAAATAATGGTGGCCACACAAAATATTGACACTTTGGGCCCAATTTGGACATTTTCACTTAGGGGTGTACTCGCTTTTGTTGCCAGCAGTTTAGACATTAATGGCTGTGTGATGTGTTATTTTGAGGGGACAGCAAATTTACACTGTTATACAAGCTGTACACTCACTACTTTACATTGTAGCAAAGTGTCATTTCTACAGTCTTGTCACATCATGTGGAACGATGGCAGGAAGAGAATTCAGAATTAAACAAGTACATGTTTTTTTTTGTGTGTGTGTTTTATTTTATTTTATTTTTTAGATATATGATGAACATTAATGGCAAACTGTAATTCAGATAAGATTGTATCATCTGCATAACAATTGATATTATAAGTCTGTGTTCGAGTACTAATATTCTTTATGTAGATTATAAATAATAATGGACCAAACTCAGAAACTTGTGGTACCCTGTTATTAAAAGGGGAGTTGATCTGAGACCATCAGTATAGATCGCTTGTGTTCTGTCATGAGAGGGTTGTTGAATTAACTGTAGGTATTTGTTTCACAGTCTCATGTTTCCGTGTATTTTGTGTCTTTGTAAGTGCCAAGCTCTGTGCGTGAGCTCTGCATTACGGAGAATCCAGTGTGACATACAATGTTTCACATCCTGGAGGCAGAATATTAACTTTCTAACTGCCGTAGCCAAGTCAATAGCAAATTAAACATGTTGTGTTACATCAAGCCTGTTCTACCACTGCATAACAGTTAAGTCCATTCGTGCACAAATCTTCCCTCCTCCACTGTTGCTGATTTACATGTTATGCAAACCATATTTTAGTTGTGCAATATTTTGAATCCCTCTGGCATGTACATTTGTGTCGATCCAAAACTATAATCTGTCGCTGGGTTGTCTTTGCTGTAAAAAAAAGTGTTCTGTGGGTTTCTTCCAGGCGCTCACTCCTACAGCTGACAGTAGCTTGTCAGTGATAGTGAAAGTAAACAGTATTCCAGCAGTCTGCACAAGAACCAATGTCTTAAGAATTAAAGATAATTCGGAAGTAATTTTATCCAGAAGTCTTGTCAAAGTGGTGTTGCCTGCAGGCCACTGAGCTGGGAACACACACACACTGAAGAGGAAGGAAAAAAAGTTGAACATCTGTGAGTGGAAGCTGTTTAACACCGGGGGTACAGGGGTAGGATGGGGATCCCAGCTCATACAAAGACCAACACTGAATTTCTGTCTTATCTTTTTTTTGTTTTCAAATACCTGCAGGGATTTTTACCAGTCAACACTTTCATGTACGTCAACATCTGTCTGCCCTCCTTTCATGCAGGTCAGATAACACATTTTGCAACTTTTGACCATGAAACATCTTTTGTCCTCCGTTATGATCACTTCCCATCTCTTGTGAAGGACTGGGAGCGGCAGATGTGTCGAGGTTCTCTGTTGAGTTTGAAACCTTGGCCTCCATGTGGTGCGATCTGTGGGGTGTAGAGTCGCGTGGGGGGGGGGTGAACACCAGGGGAGAGACCGTCTGTTTCCATCAGGAGGTCTGCTGTGTGTCCGCTGTCGCAGATTCTTGACTGTGCTTTAAGCAGGACAGGACACAGAACGACCTCCTGGCCTTTTCATCCTCTCACACATAAACAATATTAAGAATCACTGACACCTCTGTTTTATTTTAAGAATACAGGCAAACTCGCACAAAACTAGACTTAAACGCTATCACATTCAATCCCTTCAACAACAACAAAAAGCTGTTTGGTAACATTTGGTTGGAGTTTGCTGTCCCTGCATGCTTCTTCTGATTTTTTTTTTTTTTTTTTTTTTTTTTTAATTCCTCGTGAAAGAATGAAATGATTTGCAACTGAAGGAAATGTTAGGAGAAACACTACAACAGCAGAAATGTAGTGGCTTTCTGCTGAAAACTGATCCTGCTGCTGTTTCTTTTTCAGTCTGAACATGACATTCCTGTGAATTTATTCAAGCCAGTGTCCTTGGTTCAAAAAATGCTAATAGTTATGTGGTTTTAGACAGTCACATCCTTCAAATCCTTCCTCCCTCCCTCCCTCCCTCCCTCCATGCTCTGTGGGAGAGAATGAAATAAGTCAATAGATGATGTGTGAATACGCTGACGTGAGAGTAGCATCGATCCAATAATGTGGCTACACTCTCTCACACACACTCCATACTCCAGTGATTTTTGCTGCCTCGCCAACAGAAATGCTGAAGACTTAAGACTACATGTGAAGCCACAGCTGTGTTGTTCATTAAGGCATCATAATTACTATTATCTGCACCACTCACACAAAAACATGCAATGTGACTTTTGTATTTTATGCATGTAGCATTTCACTTTTCTCTCAAAAAAGCACTTTTTGGGCAGAAGAAATTAACAATTTATGACATTTTCACATCATTTCAGTCCATTACACTGCTCAGCTGGTAGTGAATCAGCCCACACTCAGAGCTGTTACAGCCTCTGTGCTGCTTTTCCTGTGTTAAAACCTACCAATTTGTTTGCAATAAGCAGTAAAAATCCAAGCAAAATACTGTTGATTCATAGGTGGTCTCATGGGAGTGGCGAAGCACCACAGTGATAAAAACACTTTGTACCTAAAGACAAATTAGAGTAAAATTTACCAGAACAGTAAAGTTGTTTTTATTTTAAAAGCACTTTACTATAGGTACACCTGCTGTTTCCCTGACCCTCCGGCTGTCTCTCTCTCCCTCTCTCCTCCAGATCCAGCCCTACGATAAGATCGCTGCTCGAGGCCTGCCAGACAACGTGGCTAACAGCCTGAACAAACTGGTGGTGGTGAAGCTGAATGGAGGCCTGGGCACCAGCATGGGGTGTAAGGGCCCCAAGAGCCTGATCAGTGTCCGCAACGAGAACACCTTCCTGGACCTCACTGTGCAGCAGATAGAGGTAAAGAAATTTTGACTTTAAGGCCTAATAAAGAGTGTTGGAGACCAGAACAGAGCTAAAAGGAAGAGTGAATATTGGACTTAAATTCATCAGGTGGACACACGATTCAGAGTGAATGCATGATGTACAAATAAGCCACAGTTTACTAACGATCATCTTTATAAAGTGATATTATGTCACTGTTGTGTTTACAGCTTGTGGCTAATTTGTTGCAGGTTTAGAAGTAATGACTTGATCCACCAGACACGCTTCCTGTTGGTTAATAAGGCACATTTGTTGTACAACCTTGTGTTGTATAATGATGAAATAAATTACCTTGATCCTGGATGTTTTGCCTTTAGGTACACTGAGGTGAGGTGAGAGAGGTCAGTGGCCTGACATGAAACAAAGTCTGCTGGTCAGAGTCACACCTGGGACATTGCACTTAAACTTCATAATAAACTAACATAATGTTAAGACTTTGACAGAGATTTGACTTTCTTTGTTTAATCTGTGGATTTGTTTCGTCAAAGAATAGGTAGTGCAAAAAAGTAATGTTGTTGTTTTTTTGCATGTATGCCTGTCAAGTTTAACATTTGACCAGTCATTGAACATTGGTAAGCTTAATGCCCTTATCCTGAAGGCTGAAGGAATTCAAACGACTCGGTGTTGAAACTACCAGAATGATCATTGAGACTGTAGAGACACAGCAGGTCGACCAGTGGAAGCTTGTGAGGAAGTGGGAGTCTTAACCACAAACAGGCAGGAGTACATATTCCCCAGAATCTTTTTTACCGTTTCACCAAACCTCACTGGTGAAAACACTAATTCAGGCATAAGAAGAAAACTGTTAAATGTATCTTAATGTTTCAAAGAAATGATTGTTAAATTCTTGATGATATGAAACCTACCCCCTTAGCTCAGTAAATCCATCATTGGATGAAAGCTTTATTTTTAAGTTGTTTCTCACAAGCGTCAGCTGACATCCCTCCTTTCACATATCACATTCTTACTCTGGCCCAGATTTGGCAGCAGTATCGACAGTTAGGCGTTGCTTAACTCGGAGGTGTGTGTACACATTGGAGAAGCGAGAAGTGATGTACTGTCTGACGTAATACAAACATCTGCTCCGTGTACTGTAAAGTTGTTTGCTCTGCTGTAGTGATCTTTGAAAAGTGCGTGGCTCATTCTGCTTTCAAGAATCCCCAGAGATGCGTTTAGACTTTTCCTTATTACCCCTAGAGTTTAAAAATAGAGAAAAGACGTTTATCAGAAGATTCGGGAGAAAGAAAATACAGCCACATCTGCTTTCCGTAAACAGAAAATTACAAGCACTTTTCTTCTGTTTTTCTCTCCATGATGCTGCATGTGTATCGTCCTCCAGACACAGGCCTTTATTACTTTGTGTATCTGAGGTGCCGAGGGCTGGGGTGGGGTGCATTTTTGAAAGGAGCTCAGTGTGACGTCTTGAAGGAGTTGTCGGTGTGCATGCGGGCAGGTCTGTGGGATTGGCAGGGAAACAGAGAAGGCTGTGTGCTGGAGGAGGGGAGTCCGTGTCTGTGGTTGTTTGGTATACCCTACATCAGCCTGCATACATACAGATTCATGTTGGTTCAAACTTCATTAATGTTCCCCAAATAAAAACATTAAATAAACAATAGGTGAAGTTTTGGAGGGTTTAGGTTTTGAGACCGCTACCTTTTAAAGTAATCTATCATGTCTGTAAGAGATGCTGACGCCAGAGTTTCGGTGTGTGAAGTATTTTGTAATTGAGTTTAAATAGGAGATGTGTGGCTGCCTAGTATTTGTGTGTGTGTGTTTCACAACAGCCCCATGGGATGCTTCTCTCCTCCGAGCACACTGCTCTCTGTGTCCGAGTCGTTGCTCTCCTTTTTATGCTCAGGTCTGGTCAGATTACCTCCTGACTGAATCAGCCTTTTGAGAAAGAGAGAAAATGGATCCCACACACAAATACTGAGCCATAACTGCTTCTCCTGTGTGAAAGCGGCCCTCTCTGCCACCACGCTGCCTCTATGCACATTTTATTTTGGACCGTTTCAGTGCAGGGACCAGTGTGCTCTAACTTAGAGCAGACATGGAAGATTGGACAAAACTCGGGCCTACTGAAATTGCACCACCTGGCAGCTGAGTTGAGTTAAGCAACTGTAAAAGAGTGCAGTTCAAAGGCGGCTGTTTCAGTCTTGTATGCAAGTCTTTGGTGATGTACAGGGCAAGACTAATGTGAGAGTAGAGTAATATGCGGGTTTTACTTATTACCTTTTCCAGATTTTCGGCCCTGAGCCCTTGGTTAGGTGAGCTAGGTTAGGTTACTTTATCTGTACCCATAAGTAGATTTGTTTTGCAGCAAGAATGTGACACGCATTATGATACAGCTATGAAAAACAAACTAACTAATAACATACAAACCTACTTAAACATACTAACTAAAACATACTAACATACTAAAACATACAAATTAATAACCTACTAAATGCTACTAATAGGACACGAAAAGCATGAAGTACTCGAGATTCCACCAGTCAGAACATAAAAGAGAGAGAGAGAGCAATTAAAAAAAGTAAGTTCAAATAAAAATAATTGAAATAGCGATCTCAAAAAAGAAGAAGATTAAATTTAAAAAAATTAAAGTAAATTGTGCTACTGCCATGTACGTGCTAATCTCGCTAATCTTATTCAGCTCAGTGATGGCTGCAGTGCTTCGTTCTGCACCTTAGGACTAAAAACCTCCATCCAGAGGGAAGAAGGTTGAGAGCACACTGGTTTCTTATGCTAATTTAGCCTAGCTGGTAACGTATAGCCATCACAGTAAAGTAGCCTGTAACTAGTCTAGCAGCAAGATAAATGTTCTCCAAAAAGACGATAGTTGCATAAACTATTAGATTTGTTATAATTTAATCACTATTTGAAAATCTTGACCCATCCCTACCGTGCTCCTCACTTCAACAATAACCCAGTTTTATTTAATGTGTAGGATTTCTTACTTTGAAGACTCTTAGTTCTGTCATTCATAACATAAAAACAAAATGACTTCAATAACATCATATAACTTCTACAGATTGGGTCTTTAAAGGGGATCTATTATGCTATTCCTTATTTTCCCTCATATATTGTTACGTTCAGTGGTGGTTATGGCAGAGTTGAGCAAGTTGGAGGACCCAAACGCAGGACACATAGGCTAGCAGGTAAAGTTCAGATGGTTTATTCCAAGCAACAAAAAGCGAGCACACCTTCAAACTGAGTGGCTGATGACAAAGTCCAGAAACACAAAAGCTGTCCAAACAGAAATCCAACAGTGCAGGGAAACACGACAAGTAGGCAGACAACGATGGATCATAACGCACATAGAAAGTAATGAACCGACAAAGACAAGACAGAAACACCAGGTATATACACACACAGGGAGTAACGAGCAGGGCGGGAGCAACACAGGTGACAGAGATCAGGGTTAACGAGGGACAGGCAGGCAGGCAGGCAGAGAGAGAGAGCAACACACAGGCAGAGAGAGAGAAGGGGAAAACAAAGACAGACATGCAGAGGGATCACTGGGGTAACAGACAAGACAAGGTTACTGAATACTAGACAAGCAGACATGGGGCAGAGAGAATAACCAATAAGACAGAAACACACATGTACAATGAACAGGAACTCAAAAGGAGAACACAGAGAAGTACAAAGGAGACTAGACCCAAAATAATGTAGACAAGGAACCTGAAGTAAATACTAAAACAAGAACCAAGGTGCAGGAAGAAGAACTAAGATGAGAGAGAAGACTACCCTAAAAATTGGAGATAAGACTACGGACTAAGACGGACCATAATGAGAAAATACAGAAGAACACTGATAAGGAAAACACTAAACATGAACTAAAGCACAGGACGAAGTACTAAAATGAGCGATAAGACGGTTACAAAGAAAACCTTAAAGCGAATGAGCCATAATAAACTAGACTACAAAACTCTAAACCCTGACAATATCAAATAAACACAGGAAAAATAACAGCACAAAACCAAATCCTAACATATATCTTATGTTACAAAGTCGGAAGTTCATGTTAAATGTGGCCAAAGTTTCAAATGACAAGGTAAACATGTGTAAATGTACTCCCTGTGAGCAATAAGCTCAGGTTTCAGACTGCTCTGAATACTAGGTTTCCAAATTTCGTGCCTAGCTGACGCCAGCTGTGTCCTTACACGACACGGCACACCCTCGCCCATAGTCCCACTCTGTCTGTGATTCGACCGCCATGCTCAAAGCACTTTCTCCAGCGCTGGCACAGCACTAAACCAAGTGTGGATAAGTATGTCTACATGCAGGTGTGGACATAGGGGGAAGAGAAGGAAAATTAATTTCTTGATGGATAGATGCCCCATATCGCTGTTTTCCAAGCCAAGTTACTGTAGCTGTCATGTGCTGGCTACCCAGAGTTTGCTCAACACTGGACAAAATCATCAATTCATGGTCACTGTCATTTCTCCTGCTCTGCCTCTCCACACACTCATTGTAAACATACTAGAAAGGAAGCTATTGTTTGTAATGTATCATGATTTATGGGAGGGCTAGACAGGATGTAACCAGTAGCAGAGCTCTTTAATGTCCTAAAGTGTCCTGACAGTCACACAGAAAGGGGTGGGGAAGTTATAGTAATGCAAAGTTGAAATGTAAATGGTCTGGATTTGTAAAGCGCCTTCCTAATCCACCGCCTACTCAAAGCACTTTAACACTACATCACATTCCACACACCGATGGAACAGCCATCAGGGGCAATTCGGGGTTCAGTATCTTTCCCAAGGACACTTTGCCATGCAGCCTGGAGAAGCCGGGGATTGCACCGATTAACAGGCAACTCGCTGTACCTCCTGAGCCACAGCCGCCCAGTAGTTTACCCACTCATTTTACTCTTGCAAATGAGAGGTCGGTGCTGGTTTAAAGCCAGAGCCGCATTAACATTACTATAAATATATGTACCATTATTCATTTTCAGTCCCTCTTTCCCTCTTTATTGCTCTCTCTCTCGCTCTTTCTCTCACTCTCTCTCTCTCTCTCACCTCCAACTGGTCAAGGCATCATTCTGCTCGAGGTTTTTGCCAGCTAGCAGGTCCTGCGGCAAGAAGTGAGCTGTGGCACCCCATCAAGCATCATGTGTTTAAATAATGATATTAAAATATAAATTGATCAGTTAGAAAAATTACTAGAGGACCGATTGGTTACTGGAATAAATGTATTAACGTGTATCATATTGACACATTTAAAAATAAGAATTGAGCCTTACCTTTACCTTCATCTCAACTATCAATTATAATAACGTTAAATGCTAATGTTAATATCACCTTGTTTGGGGTCCGCTCCGTGGACTCGACGCGTGGACTGGATGCTTTCTGCTCAAATGCTGAAGTATTGCTGTTGTGGTAGGCTAGTCTATGTGATACAGTGTGCTGTATAGTTTAACAAAAGCATTGATGCAAATAATTTGCATCAATGCTTTTGTTTAATCCGTATTTTATTTAATCCGTATTTCATTTGATCATCATTTGAATTTCTTGATGAATCGTTTCGGCTCATTGTACTCGATTGTTTCCACAACAAGCCTCCTCCACACGAGGCTCACCTGCCGTTATATAAACAGAATCACAGGTGAAAACATCCAACACCGATCCTGGTTTATTAAATATATCTTTGCTTTAGTTTAGAAAGGACTAATCACTCCTTGTTCTCTGTCACAGGCAGGGAATTCCACTCTTTAACAACTTCCACATGACAGCTTCGCCCCAATGATTCATATCCCATTTCTCATCTTCTTCCTCTACTCACTTTTTTCATCTTGATTAAAAAAAAAAATAGCCTCCATCTCTTTCCTCCCTTTTGTTTTAATTCAAATCACACAATCAATTTATAGAAATATTGTGAGAACACTGTCTCTTGGGCTGTTGTTCTCCTTAGTATTCAGAAAATATTATATTGATCCAGGAATTCAAATGTATTTGGTTGTTGCACTCAGTGTAAGTTGCTGTAATGTCCGCTAATGTCAAAGTCCAACTGCTATAACTGTCACGTGAATTTGTATTTAGAGACAAATTCTTAAACACAGCAATTTTGCCAAATACAAAATAAACAATAAATAAATACTAAAATAATCTCTATAATAATATACTAACAAATAACACACGTACATCTGTACATAGATACAAACTGCATACACATGTATTTACTGTCCTGCTTTCCACAGACTCCTATCTTCCGATGTTATAAAGTAATTTAATTTATATTTAGTGTAGTCTCTACTGTTTGTCCTGTGTTGCTTGTCCTTACAGTAACACATCAGTGGGATTAATGTGCATGAAAAGACCACACCATTTGATCAGCTCTAACTCTAACACTGAATGACGAGGTAACCTTGCCAAACTGAATAATCCCTTCATGAAAAAGTGGGTTCACCTGGAGTCTTCCAGCCTCTTAACAGAAACTGGCTGCCCACCAGTATACACTCTACAGTCCACTTTAAAGCTAACCTAGGCAACATTGGAGAAACTAGCAAGAGACAGCTAGGTACTGGATTCTTTTCATTTTTGTGTCCGAGCATTTGATTTATTGATTGCTTTCGGGATGTAAAGAGAATTTCTGAAATAAATTGCCCACCATAGCTTTAATTAGTGTGTCAACTTATACATACAGTGTAGGACTGAAATTAGAATTATAATTTGAAAAATAATACAATCCAAATATATATTTATGGACCTTTCACCAATATAGCTGAACTAAAAGGCATTCCCTAAACATATGCAGAAAGGTATAACATAACTTCTGTTTGAAAGTCATTTACTAAGTCGGTTGTTGTGTTAGCGCTGCACACTGGCCAACAATAGATGAATGTGCAAGATGCTGCTGCTACAGTCAGTTTTCCCTGGATAAATAATGCTAACGGTTACTGGCATTTATATAGTTTGTGTTTGTTTGTCCCACAGCACCTGAACAAGACCTACAACACTGACGTGCCCCTGGTCCTCATGAACTCCTTCAACACAGATGAGGACACGAAGAAGATCCTGCAGAAGTACACACACCACCGTGTCAAGATACACACCTTTAACCAGAGCAGGTGAGAGACAAGTACTTGCCATGTTGAGCAAGCACCCAGATATTAAACTTAGAAGAAGACTTGGAATTAAAACGTGTGTACTAGAGTACACCAGTCAGTATCAGTACTGGACACTTTTACTACCAGTTAGCTGTATTGAACCCAAGCGATCAGCTTCCTCTAATAATGAACTGGTCTGTGCTCAGGATCTGAGTAGCCAGTCCCCTGCTTTTATGTGTGCTACTTCTGATTCTCACTCGAACTGTCAAGACCAGCAGCATGGACAGGAAATGTCATGTAATATATGGAGGAAGCCATTAATATTTAATGCCTTGGTGTCTCCAATTTGTCAAGTGGTACTTTTGTCTTTTTTTTTTTTTTTTTTTTTTTTTACTATTTCCCTTGAATTATTTAGAGCACTTGTATGTTGTGAGTGTGGTACAAAGCAGCTATGGACAGCAGCAGTGTTGTTGGGGGAGGGATCGCAGCTCTAGGATTTAATGTCTGCACAGAGAAAGTGGTTAAAATGTCAATCAATAGGAGGACAAAGAGCAGTCTGTGGTAGAGGTTGTGAGAGTAATCTATAAAAGGCAAATGAAATGCATTCCTCATCACACTATCTGGTGTTCCAGCTGATGAGGGGAAGTAATAATTTTTTATCCAAACAAAACTCCCTGGTTACCTTCCATAGTGATGAGCAGAATTAATCAAATTAACGTGTAAAACTGTGTCTCTGTGTGTTGGTTTATACTTTTTTAAACATTATTTTCAGCCCAATACCTGCAAAGATCTAAAAAAATCAAGAACTTTTGTAACTACAAATCCAGCTAATTTCAGGTGCATTTTAGAATATTGTGGAAAAGTTAATTTTCTTACGTAATAAATGCTTTTAATAATGTTTTAATCTTGACAATTACAGCTTTCTTATTAAAACTCCAGTATTTCAAAGTGCATTACAATATTCACAATAAAGAATGTATAATACAGAAATGTCGACCTGAGAAGAGCACTAATCAGCAAACTAATTCAAAACACCTGCAAAGGTTTCGTGAGCCTTTAATCTCTGTCTGGTTCAATGCAGTTCAAACTAGATTTTATAAGATAATCTAATAAAACTAGTTTGTATTAACTAACAAAAAAATGAAATACAGTATAAAGTTAAACATCTACAAATGGATCTTTTTTTTTTTTTGTCTTTCTATGAAAAACATAGCTCGTCTAAGTGCAACTAGCTGACGACGACCGTCTGCCTCCATGTTTCTTTATGTCTGAAGTCACGTTTGATCACACGAGTTTCTGTGAGATCCCAGGTCCCGGGAATCGCCACTATTAAAAATGGGTTAACTCTGTCGTTATGTCTGTGGTATCCCATGTTTTTAAGATCAGTTGAGATTTGAAAATCCTCTAGTGTGCACCCGGCAAAAGACGTATTTTCATTTTCCTTTTCTTTCCTGGAAAGAATAACCGTTCCTTCTGCTGCAGAAATATTGGATCCCAGAAAGGAAAAACACTTTTGTGAACGTACAGAACGTTCTCAGGCGTCGGTCTGAAATGACATGAAACCTTTGAAGTCTATGAGCTCATATCAAAACCACTCATCTGAAAACATCCTCCCCGAACAGTCAGAGTGAAACCTCCACTAAAGAGGCCTGCGTGCCTCCACTTACTTACAGCTCCTCTCACCTGACCAGCTCATCTGCTCTCTGAAATACCCGCAAACTGCCAAAAACAACTCAACCTGACGAAGATCCTCCTTAGAAACCCTTTGATCAGTTTAATGCACGCAGCGATTATGGCTTGGATTCTTTGGCTTGTCTTAAAAAGTTTACACCCTGACTGTGTTGTTTGAAGTCCTGCAGTGATATGAAAAGACGAAATTTACGTGGCACCTGGAGTGCTACTTTGTTGTCCGTGGCTTTACCACAGATGTGGAGCAAAAAGATTTCACTGTCAGTTTAGTCTGTGTGCTGTTTATCTACTCTAACATGTGCAGTCCGAGACTCACAGCTCTGCGACTGAGATAAGTGACATGTAAGGTGAAAGATGTTGCTTGCAGTTAAAAAACCCACAGAAAATGAGTAGGGGAGAGCCGGGACGCTTTTCAGATGGACATCATTTTAAAAGATAACCGTATAGACAAAGCCAATTTTTTTTGTTGTGATAAATAACTCACACATGTGGTCTTTGTACGAATGTGGAACGACTTCAGTATAGTTTGACTTAGAATGTAAGTTGCAGCTTAATTACTAATTAATCATATGATCATGACAATGACACATGAAACAAGAAACACAACTTGTCATTCAAAGCTTTCACTCAGCTTGAGTAAATTTACTTACCGTGATTAAAAATGCCTTTTTTTTGGAATAACTCAAAGTGAAAGCCAAAGTTTCATTTTTCAGGTGACACAGTTTGGCTTGTATGAGCTTAAAGAAAATTGCTGTTACTTTTGTCCTGCGTTTCATTCGTCACGGTTCCCCTCAGCTTTACGGAGCAATTTAACGTCTTTCAGCTTGTTGTTTTGGTTTTATGGCCCCCAGCTTTACTCCACGTTCACATTGGTTCTGATGAACCCATTGCTACTTTCTGGACAAAGTGAAGCATTTTAGCAGCTTAAGAAGCCTAAAACTAACAAAAACATGATGGCTTACTCTTATTTTCCCTCTGTCCAGGTATCCTCGCATCAACAAAGAGTCCCTCCTCCCCGTGTCCACAAACTTGAGAATGAATGGGCAAAGCTCAGAAGGCTGGTACCCTCCAGGGCACGGCGACATTTACGCCAGCTTCTACAACTCGGGCCTGCTGGACCAGCTGATTGCGCAGGGCAAAGAGTACATCTTTGTGTCCAACATCGACAACCTGGGAGCCACCGTCGACCTCCACATCCTGGACCACCTGGTCAGCCAGCCCAACGGCAAGCGCTGCGAGTTCATCATGGAGGTGACGGATAAGACGCGCGCTGATGTCAAGGTATGTGGACGAGGACGTTTTTTTTATAGATATAGTGAGTGACAGCATGAATCCACAAATTAATATTTTTCTTACACATGGATGTAATGTTCTGGCAGTTTTACAGCATTAATGTGGATAAGATGCACAAGACATCCAGTAAACAAAGAGATTCAAAATGAACAGATTCTGTTCTTTTTTTTATGGAATAACCCTTTATTCTCAGTGTTCATCTCAGTGTGACACAGAAAATTATCACATCTTTTGGTTGTTATTTTCATATTTTTGGCATATTTATTCACTAGTACGCAGTAGCGCTGGACCCGAATATTACAATAGTCAAACGTTGGGTACACAGAGATTGGAATATTGAGGGGGGGGGTTTCGCGCGCATTACCTCTGCACACAGCAGTGAACATAACGCTCCAGTTCACATCAAAGAGAAAACAAAATGAAGCCCACAGCTGTGTGGGAGCACTTTAAACTGAGTGATGACAACTGCAGTGTGGCAGTTATGGGGGTGCTTAATTTAATTACAGATCAACATAGTAAAATATCCTATATTTTAAAATTATAGAAGGAGGACATTTAGTATCCGGTAATAAAGTTAAAAGTTATTTGTGCAAAATAAAGTGTTTAGTTACGCTACCGGAAAAATTGCTCATCCCATCTGCTGTCCGCCTGGACCCCCCCCCCTGGCTAAACTATTCCTGGATTCTGCTCTGGACCTGCTCGGATCAGACTCCCTCACTCTGGACTCAGCTATGGTTCCCCCTGCGCTGTACAGCAGCCACCAGCCTGCTTCGGCACGCATCTATCTTCACTCTGCCTCGCTCTTCCCGTACTAAATATTCCTCTTTTATGTAACTCATAACAAAGTTTTGGTAATAATCACTTTGTTAGCTTAGCTTTGAGGATAAATAAAAGGAGCGCTCTCTCACACGCACACACAGACATGCCTGCCGTTATATCTCCCCCATCCGACCCTCCCTCACTCATGTCATTGGCAGAACTTCTTGGGCATTTATCCTCCTGCTGTTGTGTTATATCTATGAAATATGTAGCTGTAGCTCGTGTAATAACAACCTGCTTATCAACAGACGTTAAAAACAGTCAGCATAACAAGAAGCTTCGATTATTCGCTGTTAATTACTATCAAAGCTTCAAAGCTTAAAAATATGACATTCGGGCCAGCCCTAGTACGCAGATAGTTTTAGTTTTATTTAGTCACAGTGCCTTTAATAACATTTGTGTTGAGTTTTGAAGTCAAATCATTCACACGCAATGAATGTGGTGTAAAAATAGACTCTGATTTTCAGGGTGGCACGCTGATCGAGTATGAAGGAAAACTGCGCCTGCTGGAGATCGCCCAGGTCCCCAAGGCCCATGTGGATGAATTTAAATCAGTTTCCAAGTTCAAGATCTTCAACACCAACAATCTGTGGCTGTCTTTAGCTGCTATCAAGAGGCTGCAGGAACAGAAAGCAATGGACTTGGAGATTATAGTCAACCCCAAGGTGAGTGAAGCGGGGACAGAGAAATACAGTTTCTGAAGTCTACTAAGCTTTTCTGTAGATTCAGATGAGCCAAGATGATTAGTAGACAGTTTGGTCCTAGATTAGAAGTAAAGACCTTTGAAATACTGTCAAAAAAAGCCAGACCAAATGGGTAAATTTCAGAACACACAGAACAACTATGGCTTACAGTTACTGGCATCTTTCATGTATGGCCATTAGGGCTGAAACGATTCATCAATTCATCGAATTAAATCGATTAATTTGATTAATTTGATAACAAAAAAGCATTGACGCAGTTCTTTGCGTCAATGCTTTGTCAGTGACAGTGAAGTTAGTGAGGGTTTAGCCCTTTGATGTGGCTCACTCACCAACACAGTCAGCAGCTGCAGCAATTTGCATGAAAATTTGCACTCCCTTTCCGAGACATTACTGAATCAATTCAAATCTGTCACACAGACACTGATACTACACATATCTTTAGATTCAGTGGGGCTTTCATGATTTCCAGTGTCCATCAAGAATAAACTTAATAAATATATGTAAATGTGCTTCGGAGTTTGCCTCTGAATTCTCACATTTTTAAGTTTTATATAATTCAGTGAGTTGGCTACATCCATGAATACAAAGAGGAACTGCTAATAGTGATTTTGACAAACTTTTGGAAAATTAAATATAGTAGTTTATCATATTGACTCCATGGCAACATGAAACTTCTTGTTTACATCCCCCAAAGTCCCAATATTGTGGGAACTGTAGCACCAAAATTTGGAGCTAATGGGGGTGCTGGGAGGCACAGTTGTCTCAGTTTTGTCTGTCTTTAGTACCACAGTCGCTGTATGACAACACAACTCCTCTCCTCCGTCAACTCAGCCAGAGGAATACTATCACTCTCCTTAACTGTGCTGCTCTAATCTTTATGTTTCTTCTTCTTCATTCCCTTCTAATAAAGAGCACATCAGAGGGAAATAACTCATAAATGTCCACCGTTGGATCCTCCATGTATGAGCGTGAAGCTTTGAGGGGGGCAAATTCAAAGAAGGATGTCTGAGTGTTGGGAAACATAGCAGGAATAGTAGAGCAGAGAGATACAGTATCTGCAACGCTCGCCTCTACTGAGACCGCCACTTCTGAATAAATCATATCTCGCCTAAAAAAAAATAATAAAAAAAATCCAAGCTTCCCGAGGAAACCCATATTTCAAAGCCTCTCTGTGTTTCCACCGTCCTGCACGGCTCAACAAGGTTTTTGCATACAAAGGAGAGAAAAGCTTCAACCCAATCCAGTTTTCTGGTCATCTCCCTGGTGGCTCATCTGCCCTACTTGGACTCTAGTTTAAGCTGCGTTTGTGTTTAGAGGGAGAGAGTGTGTGCGTTTGTGTGTGGGATGGTGTTAGAGAGACAGAGATGACTATTAAGGTTTCATTTCCCTCACAAATACTTTACCACAAGGGCCACGTCGTCGCCTCTTGTTCTACTTTGCTTACTGAGTCTGTTTGTCCAGCTTTCACGCACATTTGCGTCTTTTTAATGAAGTAAATATTTCTTTAAAGAAAAGTGTGGCAGCAAAAATTTGCTTCTTCCATTACAGTGAAAAAAGGTTTGAGTTAATGCTTAATCAGTTGAATTTCATCTATTTTTTTTTTTTGTTCTTAGCATGATTTGTTCATTTTAAGGCTCCCTGCGCATGTTAATTATCCTTTATTGACCTCTAAAGCTCCTGGTGACAGAGCGGTCCTGTTAAAAGCAGTGCAGCACACAGATTTGACGTGATGTGACTTGATGTTATTTTGGTTGTGCTCGCTCAGAGGCACGTTGCTGTGCCTCTACCTCCCCCTCAGTGGAGAAGCACCACCTCAGGGTATGTAAATCTGCAACCAGCGTTATAAATTCACTGCTGAACCCTTGGTTATTGCTTTCTTGGCCTATAGATCTAATTCCCCAGCCCTTGGCTACAGAATCGCACACCGTGACATAACAAGTGTCATGTAACGGTGCAGAGCTGTGTGGCTTTACACAAGTGTGTGGTAAGAATGCAGCACTGAAACTAAGAGGGGCCTTTCGTTTCCTACAGGACTGTAAGCTCCATACGTGTTAAAACTGTGTGCACTGTGTAGCACTGAGAGGCACCTAAGATAAAAGCCTCCATGGAGTGGAGAATGTTACATAACGTCTGATAGTTAATACCTGAGACACGGATCATGGTACAGTTACACATTGTTATATCACCGTTGTCCTGCGAAACCTTTCAGAGTCTATTTTTAGCTTGTCATATTCACTTCTGTGCTTTCAGGAGACATTATCGCCTCTTAAACTTTAAAAAGACAAAGAATCTGCACCCATGCTGGCAGCTCTGCGAGGCTCTACAGAGGTGCTTTGTGCTAAATGCTAACATCAAGCTAGCATAAATATTTATTATTTTTATTTTGCCCCATTTGTGCTCTACAGTAACATTATTATTATTACTCTGAGACCAACTGATTTAGTTTTATAACAGGAGGAATGACCTGGAGACTAGCATCAAGTGAGCGAAGAGGGCGTGCCGGTGTATAAGGGATAATCAAGTAACTTTACCACAACAAACATGTCTCCTCTCTTCTTTTGTCATCAGACCCTTGACGGCGGGCTGAACGTCGTGCAGCTGGAGACGGCGGTTGGCGCCGCCATCAAATGCTTTGACAACGCCCTGGGCATCAACGTACCTCGCAGCCGCTTCCTGCCCGTCAAGACCACATCGGACCTGCTGCTGGTCATGTCCAACCTGTACAGCCTGGAGGCCGGCTCTCTCATCATGAGCCCCAAGAGAGAGTTCCCAACAACGCCACATGTCAAACTGGGCAGCTCCTTCACCAAGGTAATTATAATAACAGCGGGAAGAGCATTTATGTCTTCTGTCTGCTTATTCTGGACTGTATGGGAAGTCCTGTGTGGACCTTTTTTCAAAACCGTCATGGGCTCAATAGTAAAGTCAAACAGCCTAACACAAGATCAACACGGAAAAGCAAAACAACAGTAAAGGTGGTGTTGGTACAGACATCAATAAAAATGAATAATAGTACTAATAATTATAACAATATCGAGCCGAAGCACTGGGGTAGCAGGAAGCCCGCAACCACAGATCCAGTCCACAGCTCCAAATTCAGAAACACCAGCAGAAAGCAACAGAAGGAGAGAGGAGAGGGACAAAAAAGCACAAAACTACAGGAGAGGGAAGAAGTCAAGTTAGTAACATGCAGTAATGGGATATGGTTGCATATAGAAGGAAAGAGAGAGGAGGTGAGAACAGCTCAGTGCATCATGGGAAGTCCCCCGACAGTCTAGGCCTATAGCAGCATAACTAAGGGATGGTTCAGGACTCACCTGAGCCAGCCCTAACTATAAGCTTTATCAAAGAGGAAAGTCTTAAGCCTACTCTTAAATGTGGAGATGGTGTCTGCCTCCTGAACCCAAACTGGAACCTGGTTCCACAGGAGAGGAGCTTGATAGCTGAACGCTCTGGCTCCTAGTCTACTTTTGGAGACTCTAGGAACCACAAGTAACCCTGCGTTCTGGGATTCTTGTTAACATATGTCCTCTCATGTTCGCCTGTGTTCAGGTTCAGGAGTACGCATCCCGCTTCGAGAGCATCCCTGACATGCTGGAGCTCGACCACCTGACGGTGTCTGGAGACGTCACCTTTGGGAAAAACGTTTCTCTCAAGGTAAGTTTTCCTTTTTTTAAAAACCTCTATTTTCAAAACCAAATGTCGCTGTAAACTTTCATCTGAAATAAAATTGGCATAAAGAGTAGCTTACCAGCTCTAAATGTGCAGAAGTCTCTTCAGATGAGCGTGATGGCCCAGAAAGACCATTGCATTATTTATTCTGAAGCCCACACTGATGGAACAAGATGCTACAGATATACTGTGTTTATTTAAAAAAAAAAAACCCACAAGTGATGATTGATGTCTTGAAGCGTGAAAATTTCCATTTATGTTCATGGTGTGGAGATAAAATGTGAAGAAACACTCGGAGCAGCTCGAGGTGCCGTGTTACAAAGATAAATCTTTAACTTTTACTGATCTTTCTCTGTAAAGGAAGCATAATGCTGAGAGATTATAATCTAATTTAACTGTCAGGTAATGTACATTTTAATCAGCGATGGAGAGAGCACTGGAAAATTTTACTCAAGTAAAAGTAGTAAAATGATACTATACAAAAGTAAAAAGTAAGTCAGTTAAAATATTTTCAGCTTATCGTGTTGAAAAGCGTTATAATAGAATTATTAAACTTAAAAACGCCTTTAGGCTACAAATTTAAGTGCATTAACACTTCCTCTGCCTTCCTCAGTAGTAGTAGTAGTAGTAGTAGTAGTAGTAGCCTTTCAGGACACTGAAGGACATCTTACATACAAGGTACTACAAAGGTAAATGAAATGAGATGCATAAATTAAACAGTGCAAGTGTCACGATCGTGGTGTGGAGGCAGGTTGGAGGACCCAAACGCAGGACACAGAGTGGAGCAGGTATGGTTCAACAAGGGGTTTTAATAAACAAACAAAAGCGAGCACACTTACAGGTGAGTGGCTGAATAACAGAAATCCAAAATCCAAAAGTACAGGGAGACGAGACAAGACGAGACGAGACGAGACGAGACAAGCAAGGCTGGTTACAGGCAGAGAGTACACACACGACAGACTGGGGGGTAACATGAACAATGACCGGACAAGGACAAGACAGAAACACCAGGTATATATACACAGGGACTAACGAGCAGGGCGGGAGCAACACAGGTGACAGACATGAGACTAACGAGGCAGAGAGAGAGCAAAGGAAAACAGAGAGACTAGACATGACAAGCAGATTATATAACAGATACTGGACACTAGACAGGACAGAACCCAAAACTCAACATACCAAGGCAGATACCAAACTCAAAAGTAAACACAAAGGATGGCCAACCGGCAGAGCGTGACAGCAAGTTAAAGGAAATCTAAAATAAGAGGAAACAATTACACAGGTCATGGATAAAGAGTCTAAAGAATATAGGCCTCTCGGAAAAGATGTTTTGAGGAGTTTTGTGAATGATGTAACAGTGCAGAGCAGCTAAAGGCTTGGGCACAAAAGGTTGGAGGAGCCGTAGACTGGGAGGTGGTCTGAGAGGTAGGTAGGTGCCAGGTTGTGGTGGGCTTTAAATGTGAGGAGTAGGGTCTTAAATGTAATCTGGTATTGCACAGGGACAGTGTTACCCAGGGTGACACTGAGTGACCGGTAAATCATCAATATTGATAATGAGGTTTTTTAGTTTGGAGAGGGTGGGCGAAAAAGCCGATTATTACTGTTTAGTTGGAGGAGGATCATGTTCATTCAGCTCCTGATGTCTTGAAGGCAGTTTATTGAGATGGGAGGTAGGGAGACGGTGGAGAAGTAGAGTTGGGCGTCATCAGCATAACGGGGGAAATTGATGTTGCATGATCATCCCCAGGGGCAGGAGGTATGATGAAGGGGAGTGGACCCAGCACTGACTAGCTTTTAGAAGGAGCTACATAAATTAAATAACCTGCCACACACGGATAAATCCTCACCAACGCAACCAATACTGAAATGGCGTCCTGCAGCTGCAGACACACCAGCAGCTTCTTTTCTGCTGCAGCTGCTGATGTGAATGAAGCAGAGTACAATACTAAATACCCAAACAAACTGCTGTTACAGTAACAAAGTCTTTAATTAAAAGTGCCTGCCTGTTGTCCGAACACTGAACTCATCACTCTTCCTCCTTACAGGGCACCGTCATCATCATCGCCAACCACGGAGATCGGATTGATATTCCAGCCGGCTCCATGCTGGAAAACAAAATTGTATCTGGAAACCTCCGCATCATGGACCACTAATGCCCCCCCCACCCCCCACACAGACACACCCCCCCCCCCACCCCACCCACACACACACACTCGTCATGTGACCCAGTTGGCTTTCTCCCAGTCATGTGACCCATTTGTCAAGTTTATCCGACACCAACAGATTGTGGGAGGAAGTGTTTCTCCCTGAAGGCTGTGTGTGATTTCATGCGCAGTCTCAACATTAGGAAGTAGTTTACATAGCTGGTGGTGGTTTGTAGCTGGGACGTACTGCCCTCTACAGAACGTTTATTATATGACATAATAAGCTACTTATAACAATAACAATGACCTATAACCATGATAGAGAGACAAACAACAGATTTTATTTTCCATCCTCCTTTAACTGTAGTGAATTGTACTGTTTTTTGGGGGGGGGCTAGAAAAAAGAACCTGACAAAATAGACTAAAATAAATAAAGATACTATTATAATATTATTAATGGGTATATAAATGGGACTACACATCTGAGGGTAAACCAGATGAATTTAGCATCATCTTCATCATCCGTGTGCTCTTACAGCATTGCTCATGCAGTCACAGTGCACTTGTAGAGATGGCAAAGTCATGGTTTCTGAAGCTATGGACCAAGTTTTGACCACGTTTTGACCATTTATTTCAAGCACACAGACTTCGCTTTGGGACTCGGCATGGTTCCACAGTTCAGCTGTGAGAAGATGTGTTCAGCTGAAAGAAATAATTTATCTATTATCTATACCTGGAGCATGAATTATGGAAGGTATCAATCATCCACCAAGAATTGCTGCTCACCAAACATTTTCCAACAATGTTCTTGGCTACTGCACATTAATAAGTGCAGCCAGAGCAGTTTGGAAAGGTGATTAGCAATTAAACTTAGGGACACGTGGGGGCAGCGCAACATAGACAAATGATCAATTCGTCAGGTGAAACACAAATCCTATAGAATTATAATCTCTGCGTCTGCTCGATGAGTAAATAGCCAAAGTTTTCCAAACACAGTCGCCATAAATTTGTGAAACAGTGAAGTCTAATATTCACTCTTCAGTCTCTCCAACTCCTGAGGGAGCTGCTCACCAAGTCATCAAGTGCATTTCCATCCACAGTCTGTCTGTAAGTTTGACTTACGCGTCTACTGAAGAGACAAAAACAATGAGGAGACTGTAATGTTTCTCAGATTAATACATGCCACATGGTTTTCGTTCACCGCCGTTTTAATCATGTAATCTTGTGCCGTCTTGTTCTGTGAAGTTTAATGGCAACCGACTGTAGAGTTAATAGCAGAAGTGTATAGAAACGGGCATTAATTTGCATTTCTTTTGCAAAACTTGCTTTTTATCTGTCTGTAACATTACAGTGATGAGAGCGGTGAGGCTGAACCAAAATAGTTGAAGCTGAAAGACGCCAAATAGTTCTGTAGCGCTGAGAGGAACTGCACAGTTTCAGTTTGATCCTCAGATATGAGTATTAATATAAATATATTAATTCGAGTAGTTTAAAGTCAAAACATCAAAACGACAATTTTTACTGGATAACAACATAATGATGAAAGTCTGAAGTGGAGTTTGTGCCAAGAAATAAATGGGTAACTTTCTTCCAAAGCGATGACAACTGTGACTTTCCCATTACAGAGCGTAGAACATTCGTCCACTGGACGTATTTACTCCTCCAGCGTCCAGGCTAACCTTGTCTTGCCTGAAAAGCTCCCAGGAGTTTGTGCCATAGAGGAGAAACTAACATGTTACCCCACGTGATGCCTGAACCATATTCATCTCTGGTTATTGAGCTTTGTCATGATGTTCCTGGATGAAGACTGTATTGATCCACATCCAGGCGCGATCACAGTGTCAAGAAATCGTAATGTAATAACTGAAATGATATTATAAAGCGAAGGCCTTTTTCTTTGCGATGTAGATGATGAAATATCAACAATGTCGTGCATTATTTTTTGGTTTGTTTGCTCACATTTTGACCTTAACGTTATATGAAACCTCATGCCTCCATTAATTAATTAGTGTCAAATCCCTCCTGTCGCCTCTGTCCTGCCCATCCTTCAGGGTGAACTGTCCACACGAAGCGAGACAGGAGGGGCAATGATTTCTGCAGTGTTGGTTTACAGACACACACACACACACACACACACACACACACACACACACACACATTCACAGATTCAAACTGTAGATATTTTTAAAACATGTACACAAAGTTTCAGTGTGAGAATACCTGAGATAGTCTGACGGCAATAAGTGTTAACGGTGACGAGGTCTCAGCCCGGCCCAGTTCTGCCTCCTCGGAGCTGAATAAAGTGCAATATGAATGAGCGTGTGTCGTCTGTTGTGTCTGTACATCCACAATCACTTTATTCAGCAAATAACCTAATGCAGGAAAGGCATTCGGTCCAGTGGCACTCAGGGTTTGTCCATAATACTGAATGATTAATGTAATAGGTTACTTAATGCACTTTAAATAGTTGGTTATGTACAGTATTGCACATCTATATACAGTGCTTAGATGTATGTTTAAATAAATAAGAAATTAAGAGTGTCAATAAGAGTAAAAGGTTCTGTAGTCCGATGTGTGGCGTGGCGAGCCGCAACAGGCTCATTAACGACAAAAACAAACAGAAACAGTCTGTTCAAAAAGTATTTGTTGGGTTTTTCAGTTTTTTCTAGTTTTTTTTTCAAGAGAAAAGACTTAAAAGAATGAAGAATAACCGTTATGTATATATGATTACCAACCCCACCTCTGTTAAAGAGCAGCGCACAGCCCATCAAGGTGACGTCATGTTTTGTCCAACAAACAGTCAAAATTTCAAAGATATTTATGTCACTATAATGTAAGAATTATAGTGGTATTTACAATTACAGTTAAAGTAACAAAAACTGTTTAGCATTTTTGCTTGAAAGAAATCGTCAAAATAGCTGATTTGGTTTTTTTTTATTATAATAAAGCAAAAGTCCTGCATCCAAAATTTAACTTCACTAAGAGGATACTATTAAGAGACAAGCTTTTGTCTCCCCCTTCTGACGTGAGAGTAATTTCACAACACTGTGGACACAGTCTGCTCACGACACAGGCTCTGCCATACTGAGTTGCTGCTACAGTTGCTTCCCCCTATACTGAGAATCCAGAGGGGTTTGCTGGTGTCAGGCTTAATCAGCATTTTGTGAACTTGTTTGGTTTGAATGTAACGGACTTTAGTTTATATGTAAAAGTCCCGCACCAGCTTAAAGTATCAAAAGTAAAAGTACTTACTGTGCGTAGTATGCTTTTGAGAAAATGGGTTATTAATTAATCAACCTGTAGGCAACATTTTACACGTATCAAGTAGCATTAAATAGAAATACTCTAAAACTGTACTTGAATACACTGCTTAAGAAAAATTCACTTACTTTCCACCACTGTAGGCTGTAGTTTGTGGTGATGTCCTATTGTATTATTTATATTAAATTTAAAGGACATGGAAGCCATCTTGAAGACTCACAAATGTGCTGAATGAATTCCTTTTCTTTTAGAAAAAAAACAACAAAGCACTGCAGCTTCCTGGCTGTCATTATTGCACAACATCCACCTGGTTCTGAGCTGCAAAACAAAAAGACTTTGTGGTCAAATCACACTGCTGAAGAAAATAAAACCCAGCACACCGTGAAACGTGTCACTTTTACACTTTATTGTTGTTACCAAAAGAAAAGAAAAAAGTGTTTGCTGGAAACATTCTTTCGCTTTTGCCTTTACAAGCACAAGGAGACAGAAGAAGAAGAAGAAGAAGAAGAAGAAGAAGAGGAGTGAGTGGTGGGAGGCGGGGAGGACGGACGTGTGTTTGTGTTAAAAACAGGGTTGAGATAACAGTGCAGAGACTGAGTGAAGCCCTTACTCACACACTTTATCCACAGAGAGAGAGACGGCGCCTCGGAGTCCTTAAAACACAACAATACTGGATGAAGGAGAGGCAAGACACAAAACCTTTAATCCAGAATATAGGCTACTCTTTTTTTTATACTTATGAGGTAACCTCAGAAGACCTTAGCTGTGAGTGTGTGTGTGTGTGTGTGTGTGTGTATTTGTAGATGTGACACAGGTGATTGTTTTTCTCCCTGAGGTGAATTAGTGTGTGTTGCAGTCCGACCACTGGGGTGATGAAAATGAAAACTACAGTTTGGACAGACAAACGCACACATACAATCATCATAAACACATAAATTACAATCTCTCTCTCTCTCTCACACACACACACGTGATGCCTGCACAAGCTCTTGTGTGTCCTGACGAACATGTTGTGGACAGTTAGGAAGCTGCTTCGCTGCTGGGAAGCTCGCTGTCTCGTTCTTACGCCGACATCAGCTGCACGAGGAAGCCGGACGGACCACAGTGGCGTTGTGGGATGCGTTGTGTGTACGCAGCAGGAGTCTGGGAGAATTAGCTTTCACAAAACATCAGGACTGCGTTCTCTGAACCCGTTATTTAGTCTCAGTATAGTCTCTGTTATTATAGAGGTAGTGTGAAGGGGTCTGGACTAATTTACAGTTTGTTTGTTTTTTACATTCGTGTTAAAGAGTAACTGAAATAACCACAAGGTCCATTTAGTAGCTGTACTCAAGCTTTCGATCGTGTCACATGATCTTCCTCAGCAAATGGGAGTTTGCCCAGGTTGTCATGGGATATAAATGCTATGATTTCTGGAGACGTCCTTTTACTTTCAACATTTTTTTTATGCATTCAGGATATATTTGATAATATTCACAATACTGATTAAATTATTTGGACGGTTTGGTCATTACTTGGAGAAGTGGGACACGATGCTTTTATGTCAATCTCACAAAATTGTATCTAAAGAAAATTATATATACGCTTTATCGTATGTTTGTTTTTGTCATCTAAAAACAAAAGATGTAGATTTTGAAGGTGAGAGTTGAACTATTCAAATTAAAATGTATCTGATCCATATTGTGATCATTTTCTGTAGATGAAACTGCAGGTCTAGGTACGAGTGTACCAAGTATATCAGTTTTTATCTTGTTTGCACGTAAGTGGAGAAAATAAAGTGATGCAGCTGCTTGTTTTTTTAGGTCCAACCTTAATTATCTACAGCTGAGTAAATTTGTTGGTGGCAGCTGTTATTATATCAGGAAAAAAATCTCACATAATTATTAAAGTTATAATTAAAATCATAGCCCGGCGCTCCCTGGTGGCCTTGGGGTTGACGCGCTGACCATAAACTGCAACACCTCTGATTCGCGGGGACATTTGTTGTTGCATGTAGTTCCCCATCATGTCATCTTGCTAATGACTATCTAAAAAAATAAAAAGGCATAAAATGAACCATAAATATATTAAAAATAACAAATAAAAGTAAAAGTCTGATTTTGATTTAAAAAAAATATTATTTAGCACTACTGTGGGCCAAACTGTTAAACTTATTAAAGAAAACTAACAAAGTTGAAGTAGAAGTTGACTTTTCTCTGCCTGCCTTGTTTGGGAAGGACCTAAATAACAAACAACTGCACACACAGACCTTATTGACCCGAAAGACAGGCAAGAGTTTCTTTATGCTGTTTGGCTTCCTCACAGAATGAATGTTTAATTAGACTGCAGGCCTTTATTTGTAGTCTACTTAGCTTTAAACAAGACACGCTTGTCACCTCTTAAAACCCCCCTACAGCTTGTTAAGACACCGTAAACAGCAAGTGTTAATATAAAAACAACCGTTTAGCCCTGTTATTGGAAAGCTATTAGAATATACAGTATAAACATAACAGTTCTGATCATAGTTTTCAGTTTACAAAGAAAGAACCAGGCAGTCCCGATATTTTGTACTCACACTGTAAAGCTCATCCCCATAAAATGCTCCATGGGGACCACTTCAACACACTGTTTGGAGAGCACAAATTAAACCCTGATGAGTAAACACAAACACACATCCGTAAAGAGAATAGTGTAGCTTGAAGCCATGCGTGTGTTCGTGTGCATCAAACCTGAGTCAAACGGCTACAGTTGCTCGATGAATGAGGTGGACGGGGCTTCTTGCACTGTTACAACTCGGGTGAGAGAAAAAAAGAGAAGCAATATGACTTTCCTTCTCAACTCATTAGGTCTCAACAAACCATGACTAGTGTTTAAAATCATGCATGATTTGGTGAATTAAATCATTATCAGCCCCTAATAGGACGCACAGTTACTCGTGGGTGACTCTCGATAACAGTATCTTACACAATACAGGCTGTAATGAAAGTTTAATTTCATTTAAATGCCAGTTAGAAACAGTTACGATGTTAAGATACCAAAAGTTATTATTATTTATTACAAATTTATTACTTAAAACTGGAACTAATACTGATCAGAGTTCTGTTTCTGTCAAAATATGTATTATTGTTCTTGCTGCAACTGTGCAAGTAAGCCCCAAACCATCATCTGTTTTTGTTTCCACTTTCAATATAATAAAAGGTATTTGACCGGGTCCGGTTAGTGTTTGTGTGTGTGTCTGCATAATTTGTGACATTAGCTACATAGCTGCGTTATCGTGGCTAACCTGTGATCAGAAAAGATTCACTCACCCAGAGAAAACGTTTCACTCGGACTTTAAAGGGAGTTCAGGCTGCCTGAGCGTTACACAAGACGCCTAGAAGACTCTGTTTCCCATAATGCTTTAGGAGGTCTCCGTTCCAAATCTATTGCTTTGAATGTGGAAAAGGCCGAGGTGATGCCTAATGAGAGACAAGTATAACTGAAGGGTTAACACACACAAAGTGAGAGCACGCCAGAGGACGGGGTGTATAAATACGACAAACAGATCTGAGAGGTGAACGTGGGGGAGAGACACAGAACGAAACCCTCAGAACACACCCAGAACTTTATATCTGATTAACAATATACTGTGTTTTCAAATTAAAATGCTAAATAGTATTGAAGTTAGGCATATCTGACAGATAAAAGATGAAGCGAGGGGCCTTAAATAAACATCTTTGTTTAAATTAGCTCTAAGAGATGTACACAGATGAATATTGCAACAATAAACATGAATAAAAACCGTTTGTTTGCACTACGGTGTGTTAGTAATTTAGAAAATACTGTTGTTGAAAGTTCTTTCAGAGAAACAAACAAAACGTTTAACCCAGCAGTGTTCTTTGTTTGGTTTTTGTGTCTCTGGTTTCACATGAAAATATAGAAATCTTTGTTGTCATTCATGAAAAAGCAATACAAAGGTCACTTAAATATGAGAAAGAGACAAAAAGTCCAGAAAAAAGTCTGTTTTATCTTAACCGCAGAGGAAAGAAAACAAATCTGGGTAGCTCCCCGTTTGCAAGGCCAGTGTCTCAGTGAAAAGCTCCCCGCTCTGCCTCTCCCAGAGGATGCTGGGAAGTGTTTCCTGCTAGTCGAGGGGTCCCTGGAAGATGAGTCTGACGTAGCCCTGCTCACCAGTCAGCTGCTGGGCACAGAAGGGGCAGGCGGCGTGGAAGGTGTGTGTGCCGTGCGGCAGCGGGATCTGACTCCAGAAGGCTGCTGTCTTCTCCGAACAAACGTGGCCGCAGGGGTTAAAGGCGTGAGTGGGAGGGGCAGCGTCTACGTAAAACCCTGCCTCGCAGCCCAACCACAGCGGCACATACGGCCCTTTAGCTCTGCACATGGGACACTCCCTGAGCCGGCCCTCCCGGCCCTCCCTCTCCTCGCGGTGGTTGCCCCAGTTATGGTAGCCGTGGACGTGGCCACACTGGAGGTAGACCCAGGGCTGCTTCTCGTCCGGCGTGTCCTTACGACGCATGGAGGGGAAGGCCAGCGTGTTGAAGCCTACGGGACACTGCGGGCGGGCTGCGTTGATCTCCTGCCGCAGCGCCTCCAGGTGTTTGAGGGTGGGAGTGCGCGCCAGGCCTTCAGCTGTGCGCCACAGCAGAGTGGCACCGCAAAGGTCGATGAGAGAGCCGTCGACCAGCTCCTGACTCTCAGTCTCCACCTGCAACAGAGAGAGGTTATAGAGACGGGCAGCTACAGACGACAGTCGTATAAAAACTTAGCAGGTGTCACTAAACTTCAAACACGAGGAAGAGCAACAGTCTGAAAGCTAATGAGAGTTTCGTCCGGTGCACCAAGAAAGACCTTTGGTTGGAAAAGTTTTTTAATTGCTGTATTTATGCATGTCCTAAAAAATGTCATATTTATAGGTCACTGCGTTTAAAAAGTTACAGCATGAGTAACTTTACATGACAAATTTAAACTGTTTCTGAAGAACATGAACATCTGTACATTTCCAGAGAAGCCAGAAAAATATAAACCTCTTGATGGTGTTGGATAAAAAGTCCGGAGATCACCAAAGATAGTTAGTTCATAGCAGTCAATCTACAGAAACGGTTTTTGATATTTAGCGACCGAGCGAACCACACTGCCGTCCCTGGAGATGAAAAGAACCAAAATACATGCAGCGACTTTTCAGTTTATTCGTTCATTCCAGCCTTACTTTTATCAAAATACTACAAATGGAAACTGAAACATGGCCTTGTAAGATGACAATATTAGTGATGCAACTAAATGCTTTTTTAGATAATTTATCTTTCTAGATTATTTTTTTAAATCCTTTAGTTTATGAAAAGCCAACAAAATTTTAAAAATGCCCAACAAACGTCTTGTTTTGTGCAACAAAAAACCCTAAAATCTTCAGTTCAGAATGACTGGTTGGTTTTTTCAATTATTCCCGTTTGTCTTTTTTACTTGTATTTATTTCCGCCTCTGTGATGTGTGACTAGCGACCTTTCCCAAGTGTACCAACACCTCTCACCAGATGCATGCTGGGACAGGCTCAAGTATAAGCAGTTTAGAGGATGGATGAATAAATAACTGCTGCCTGCTCAAAACATAGAGCGCTGAAGTTTGTAGTACTCATCTGAGCACAGTAGGTGGCAGTGTAACGCAGGCATTTCTCCCTCAGACAGATGTGTGATTCAGGGAGGAGGCAGGGGACTGACAGCTGGAGGCAAAACGACATGAGGAATGATGATAGACCAACAATGTGTGTGTGTGTGTGTGTGGGGGGGGTGGATTTAAACATTTAGATAACCAGAGGACATCTGGGAGGAAAAAAAACAGAGGACGAAGAGAGAAAGACTGAGCAGGATGACAGAGAGGGAGAAAACATAATAAACTATTTTTAAAAAGTCATATGAGGGGCAGAGCAGTTCCCAGGGTCTCTGGTGAGATCACGCTGGTGTGTCTCGGGGAAAACACATTTCTACCACGGGGTGATGCGTCCCTCCTGGTCACAAGTTTTTAACCTTCATTTATCCCGGGGAAGGTTCGCTGAGCTCACGTGTGCTCTTTAATTATGTCAGCGATGCCCTGTTTCACACTGATGCAGCAAAACCACAAGCTGAGCAACTGGAACAGGGGAAGAGTTCAGCGTCTCGCTCGAGGGAAACAGTTGTTGCTGCTGCTGCTGCTGCTGCTGCCCCCCGTCCCGCTCCGATTTTCCTAGCTGCTTAAGCTCATATCAAAACCAGCAACATTTAGGTCACAAGGCTGCTCCTCTAGTCATTAACCTGCCGCCACGTCAACAAAAAAGACACATATATGAAAAACTGTTTGTCTAATCAATAAATAACCACACTCAAGTTTAATGATCCGAGTGCTTCGGGTCGATTCAATCCACGTAAACAGCCACACACTCGACACACAGCTCTAATTTAATTACACAGAAACGAATCATTTATCGGCACAAAAGCTTTTATTAAACACGGCAGGAGCTCAGACACTGTACTCTGCTCGTTTATTATACTTCACAACAGCCCCCGCAGCAGGCTCACGGAAACCCACTGTGTGTGTGCGTGTGCTGCACTATAAGATATTCCTAATTATGCTGGCTTCAACCTTGTGTCCAACTGCAGAAGGGCAACCAGCTGCCCTGCTGGCAAGGCCGAGTGAGTCTGTCCAAAAACTAAAAGGAACCTGCAAGTGATGTGTCTTTACCTCACAACAACTACCGAACATCACCTGCTGTTCACTGCTTTAGATTAAATAAAAACATCCACAACAGAAATGTTATTTGTAGCTGAAACGGTTTCCTCTCAGTAGTAGTGTCTTGTTTTTCTAATGATGGATATATTTTTAAGAACGATGTTAGGACAGGCAACATTACAAACAAGGGGTTTTCAAACCCAAAATGAATTCAACACACCGCACAAACTTAACACACACCCACACACACATAAGTCAGCGCGGATTGCTTTTTGGCAAACTTGCTGAGACTAATGTTTTACCCCCCTAATAAATCAGAAAGTCCTTCAGCTGTTAACCTTCGCAAATGCAGGACACTTAACCCATTTAGAGAGCTGTGTGCTCGCAAAGGCATCGACGGGAGGCTGTAATACACATTACAAAAATCTAACATGACTGTATTTGTTTGAGTCCAACTGAAATCATATTTAGTCATCCCTTTTTGCAGTGAAAAATGTATTGTTAATAGATTTTTTGGCTAAATATCAGAAATGCTCCTTTTTCGTCTCAGTGGCTGGAGGCGGCGCAGCCCTGTTTGTGTTTGATTGACAGGCTGAGCTTCATCAGGGAACAAGAGACAAACTAACTAAAACTGTCATGGGCAGAAAGCGTGTTGTTAACAGTGATTTTTTGAAGAACATCACCATCTAAACACACAAAAGGGAAATTCGCAGGTAGCTTTACATGCTGTTGTGCTGCAGCTGAGCAGCTAATTAGCTGACTAGCTTTCAGACTGACATTAGCAGTGCACATTTCCCCCCGTGATTGTTTGGTCGAACGTTCAACAAGTTAAGTTGCAGGAAGCTAATGTTGTTCAAAGTGACAGTCACGCTATTTATTGGCTGTTTGGAAACAAGTTCTTCATCTACGTAGACGGAGAACTAACAGTAATCTGACAAACCGATAAAGTGAAAATAGACGGTGGCATCATGAAACTGAAAGGAGGACATTTGGTTAACAGAGCAGATATCTATGCTGTGGCAGACCAAAAAATTAACTTTAACTAATCTGCAAATGCCAATGTGAGTCTATGATGTATTTTTACATCTACACAGTAGTACCTCAAATAAACATCATCTCAAAAAGTATCTCTGTGCCTGCATCACCATCAAGCAGACACACGGTTGTCCACTCCTGTGTGCACTCAGCATGACAATTAAACCCCATCATGTTCCACAACCGTACATAATGAATATAGGTGCTCTCCCATTGCCGACTATCTAAATTGTCAATCATGTGTGAAATAATGAGCTGGTTTCTATAGTGGTGGATTATGCACACACGGTTAACTCCCTGGACGGTAACAGGCCAGGTGGAGATAAGAGAGCTGTTGAGAAACGAAAACAGGTGGGACACCAGATAAAGAGACGGATTAATGCTCGAGCTGCGGACATGCTGAGTGTGGAGGAGAGGAAGAGAGGAGAAAGAACTAATTAAACACACCACCAACAACCTAAATCCAATCAGACAAATGCCACAGGTAGCCACGATGACGAGGCAGCGGGAGCGCTGTGATTGGCTGAGAGGCCCTGGCGTCAACTGGAGGATCCCCTTACAAGGTCCTGTTACACACGGCTTTGACAGTCGGACCTTTTGTCATCCCGATAACCTCCTGGTGATGCTAAGCTCTGACTGACCTCCCGCTGACTGAGTGACAGAGATAGTCTTTCTTTCTCTTCAGTAGTTCAGCAGTAGTAATCTCTGTTCGGTGAACCTGGTACGACATGTTATGCATTTCTTCCTCACCATCTTTCCCCGCTGCTGTGCCGAGCGGGTCTCCCGCAGGGTGAAAACATTGCCGCAGACCGAGATCTCCCTCCAGACGCCGGGTTTGGAGTCCTGGGTGAAGCCGTTTCGAGGGTGCATCACCAGCACGCCGTTGGTGGTCAGCCCGTCCATTTGACCATCAGGCGTCTTCCACTTAGCAGCTTTCTCCTGAGAAAAATGAAGACATGAGAAGGTGCGATCAGGACGGGGATAACTGGTTATTATGCAGCCCTGAATCAAAAATCGATAATGCCTACATCATGTATTATAAGTCACTTAGTCATCTAACTTTGAGAAGTTTTATTGTCATTCATACTGTAACACTTCACTTAATAGTCCAAGCTTCAATCACTGAACCCACCCTGCCTATATTTGAGACAGGCCTTTAATTCATTTAGCACCTTTTAAATGTCAATTCATTATTTCTTTCAGGTGAAAGTTGAAGAAGCCACTGCTCTTTATGCTCAGAACAAACACTTGATGACCCAGGTTCAATCCCCCACTGTGCACTCTGAGCAAGACACTTAACCTCTAGTTGCTCCAGAAGCGTGCAACCTCTGACATATATAGCAACTGTAAGTCGCTTTGGATAAAAACGTCAGCTAAATTAATAAATGTAATGTAAAATATGAGGTAGAACATTTAAAACAATTGTAAAAATTGTTTTAACAAATCTGCATAAGTAAAATTAAGTAAAATATTTTTTGTTCAAATTCATTTGTGATTCAAATTAAATCAAATATTTATTAAACATTTGTTGTATTGTTATTGATATCCTGATTATATCCTGATTATTATCATTATTGTTTTATTGCCCAGCCCAATCTAACCAATGTCATAATGTGTGGAATATCCATATTGACCAAACTTAACACTTATTTATGTATGCACAATCTAAGCAGCTTAGAAGTAGCTCAAGCAGGTGACCCCGCTGACTCTAAGAGGTTTTATACATCCAGAGAACTTTTATAAAAACCAGACCAGGCGTCTAACTGAGACCTGCGTTTACTTGTCAAAACATGTGTCCACACCAGGCCAGTAAAAGGGACATGCGTCTAATTGAGACTTTTAATTTAAGTTTAACAGTATATTGTTATTTATTTTGGAACTTGGCCAACTCTCTCAGCAAATCCACTCTTCATTCTTGAGCTGTTTAGCAGCAGCATTTTGTTGTACACACTGAAGACGGATGCCAAAACGTCGGTATGACAGGCTGCAGCTGGAAAAAACCTAGACTGGAAAGTAAATTATAAGAGTCCCCCTTTTTTTTAATATTGAGCATGTTTAAGTTGTAGCCAAGGACACTTTGACAGGACATTAGTTTGTTGTCCCTCTGCTGTCATGACAATGAAGAAGAATGATGTTTGCTTCTGACATTAAAAGTAAAAGCAAACACGACTGGGAAGAGAAAACAGGTCAAAGATTGTAAAGGAAAAGTTCTTTCCTCTTACCAGACAAGATGAATGACTCATCTCTATTTTTCCTTTATTTTGCTTCCTCCCTTCATCTTTCTGCCTTTTACTCTCTCACACTCACCTACATGTGTCTGAATTACCAGAGAAAACATAGCTCACCCCTAGGAAGATGTTCTTGGAGGAGTCAAACCCCGCGGCGTAGATGCGTGCGGTGTAAGGTGGCGTGCGCTGGCACTTGATGCGGCAGGCGAAGCGCGAGATGGTGCTCTGGACCGACTGGGTGTCTGCGTTACTCTGGCTGCCCGCCACTGTGTCCGTCACAACAAAGTCTATGGGACTCTCTGTCGAACGACCGATCTGGTAAAGAGAGATCGAAATGTGTTCTAACAAGTTTCACATGGTAGGTAGACGACCTTGCATACAGGTTCAGCTGGTTCACATGCATTGCTAACTCGCATTAAACCCATAACAACCTTGAGGACATTCTGTACTATGATGATGGGTACTTCGCCGCCCCAGACAGCTACCTGCATCACTACAGTACTATAATCACCGTACAGGATGGCCTCCCAGAGTGGTAATGCTATAATCAGGAAAAGAACAGGACGACTTTGGAGAAACATTTTGAAAAGTGCACTGTGGGTAACGTTTATAATCCAGGAGCAAAACCTTTTTTTCCAAGTCTGACTAAGATGAAAGATGATATTACATGTTGAACACATGTTTTATTACTTGAAATAAGTATACATCCCATTTCAAGAGTGGTGGCTTTCCCAAATGTTGTTTCCAAGGCCAAAAAAAGACATTTGAACCTGGTCGCAGTTCGTCACACGGACACAAAAACATGTGAAAAGAAGGTCTTGGTTAAAAAATACAGACGTTACCCTTTAAGCTGTATGGGTGAGTGCAACAGTGCAGTGGAAAAAGTAAGGACTATAACTGGTTGTAAAACGTCAGTGCTGGTGGTAAAAGTTGAGGCTCGTTACCTGGAACATGTCTGTATTGCTGTCATGGGTGTACTCCACCACCACCGTCTGGACTCGAGACAGAGTGTAAGAGATGCTGTGCTGGTCTTTGTTGCTTATGGCCTGATGGGACAGAAGGAAAAAAGTACAGATGAATACAGAGAAGGTAAACAGAGGGAGAAGGAGGCTAAATAAAGACGATCTCAAATTGAACCAATCACTTTAAATATACTCAAGGCTTGAACCCTGAACGTGCTTAATAGCAAAAACACCTCTGACATCTGCTCACGGATCCTAACAGAGAACAATAGATGCACAAAGGAAGGGTGGGGGTGGGTGAAAAGTTCAGTTATGTAGTCACTAGCTGGACTTAACACAGCCTCAACATCTTTTTGGTCATTCAGGACCACCCAAAGGACAGAAAAGCACAATCACTCTTCAAGACTCTTTAACTAAAAGCCCGGCCTATGTGTGTTTGAGAGCAGAGATGTTTGTGTCCACAGAGAATCCACAAAGTACAGATGTTAAACCAAAAAACCAAAAGGTCCTCTCACACACACGCCTTACAATCCCCTGTTCATTTAACAGATTTTGGAGGAGTTCTGGGCGGCTTTATAACTTCCCAGGACGTTCAAGAAAACACTCCTTGCACTGCACACACAGCATGTTCCAGTTAAATGCAATGTAAAAATTGTTCAAATACCTCTTAAACCTCGACCAAGCCTTGTACCTGCTCTTTTTCCTTTTTTTCTGCTAACTCAGGGAAGCTTTGCTGAACTCTGTCCCTTTCCTGTTAGTGTTGATGGGTGTGTGACACTTAATTATCACAGAACAAAAAGCAAACAGAATTTCACAAAAGCCTTTGGTGGAGCAGCGCAGGCCACATCCACTGAACTGGGTGTGTTTTATGTGTTTTCAGACAAACAAAATCATACACCTACGAAGACGAGAAGGAGAAAAGAATGCTGTTGTCTGATATTTTTGTACTGTCCTTCTGTATGTGTGTAATGTGTTTCATGAAAACTTTGGTTGTGAAACTCACTTAAAACATATATCACTGCATAAACATTCAGCTAAAGGACTGAAACTGATGATGTGTAGGGTTTCAGTGACTGCAGTTTTGTGAACCCTGGGATGACTAAATAATACTTGTGTGTGTGTTTCACCTTGGCTGCCTGTGGAGAGCAGGCGACGTGAACCGTGCTGGGTTTCACTCCATTTGCCTTCGGCCTCTTACAAAGTGCAAAGCGGCTTTTACGTCGGCCTCGGTCTCCATTGGGCAGAGAGCCATTGTACCTGCACGTACACATGCACACAAAAACATAAACACACACACACACACACAAAACAATAGGGTATTATTGTCTGAACAGCAGCTGTATAATACACTGGAAAAACAGTCATTGTGGAAAATGCTTGAGGCATTTTGGTGCACCCTCCATGCCCCTGAGAAGCAAGCAAACACACACACACAAACACACATAAATAGCACCCTATACTTTTTCATACATACTTTTCTACAAAAGCACATCGTGTCCCATAAACAACAAAAGCCTCCAAACATAAGCTCAGAAAGCCTGAGAAAATAAACACACAAAGAGGCTCATTTAGCTGATACACGGCTGAGGAAAGGAGAATAAACAGAGGGTTCCCTCCAACAGAATCAGCTCTCTGTGACTCCCGACAGCACAGTGACTGTGTCTTTGTGAAAGTGTGTGTGTGTGTGTGTGTGTGTGTGTGTGTGTGTGTGTGTGTGTGTGTGTGTCCTGCTTAATATCCTAAAGTAAGAAAACGTTCAGAAAACATTCATCATCTCCATCCACCTTTCAGTTTATCAACAGTGCCTTCATGTGTTTCTAAGAACTGACCCGTCTGCAGCTGATATTATTACAGGGCTTAAACACTGAGGTAACAAGGATGAAAAATCAACACATATATTGACAACAATAATATAAACAACAACATTAAGTGATTAACAAAAGCAAAATTAGTAGATAGGTATAAGAATAAACTAAAATGGATGGGGTATGAAAGTGCGTATTTTCTATAGCTGCGAACGATTTAAAGAACGTAGCTGTACTTTGAGTTTTCAGGTATAAATGTTTGTATATGAAGCACACCGGTTGCTGTGAAACATAACCAGTTGACATCCTCTGAATATACAGAGGTTACACAAGGTTTTATTCTTTATTGCACACACATGTTTTAGATAAGCCTTTGCAGTGTGAAGTGATATCCCTGCTAACAGAACCACGGCTTTATAAACATTACCACATGAATAAACACAGCTCGCTACTTTAACATTGTTATGACATCTAGAAGCCACAGACGTTACGGACTCCTCTGGCTTCACTGATGTACTGCGACTATACTTAAATCCAATACGATAACTCACTGCCCAGACATGATCAGAGATTAAGCTGCTTCCTTCGTTTTTTTGTTTTACGCTATGAATAATATCCAGTAATACTAAATGTTGTAGTCATTAAGTTTGGGGGTCTTGTTCTTTTAAAAAGTGTCTAAATATCAAAAAAGGTGACACAATAATTTGTCAAGGGTTTTTTAATAAGAAGACAATAACCGTTCACAGCATGTATCATTACCCAAAACTTTTCAAAACCCAACTTTTAAGTTTTCAGAAATAGTGAACAACACAGACAACAATGTCAATAAAAGCAGTAATCAAAGATTCATGGTTTTGAACCAGGCCTGCAGACGCATGTGTAATGTCTGAAAAGTTTTCTTTAAAGTATTAAATAACAAAATAAAACGCTACAATGGTACAGCAGAAGTCGACATACTGTACAGAACCTCAACACAGTTGGAAAGTGTCTTTGACCAATCAGACTCTTAAAAATGAAACCACCCTTTGTACTAAGTCCCGTAAAGACAGCACAGACAGGCTGTAAGGACGCCCAGCCTACAGGGCAAAATGTTTCTCTGAGAGAGCAGATCTGCAGGGATCAAACGGCACTGGAAGGGTTTATGAGTAACCATGGTGAAAGAAAAGCGCCACAGCAACGTTTGGGAAGAGTAACCATGGCAAGAGCATAAGCTTAGCCCATATCCGGAGAGAGGGCAGAGCATTCTGCTGGAGAAAGTGTTGCTGGCCGTTCAAACCGAGGTTCCCATGGGTCGAAGTAATGTGTGAGGGCATACATGTGTTCAAATATTCTCAAAACAATGGTAGAAAAGCTGAACAAGTTAGTGTGTTTTTATGTGTTTGTGCATACAAGTTGTTCATACAGTGAGGCAGGAAGGACCGGAGTAAGGAAAAAGTTAGTCTGTGTGTGCAGACAGATACTCTATTCTGTAATTCAATGTGTGTGTGTTCCCTCCAAACACTAAAGCTCAGTTTGCAGCAACAAGCTACCACGTATACAGTATAACCTATAAAAACATAAACTCTGTTTACATGTGTTAATATTACAAGGTTATTAGACTAAAGGTAGAGGCTGCTGTGAAATTAACAATATTCTGCCAGTGCACGTGGATACACAATTACTATATAAATAAGAAATCACACAGACAGTGATCGATTTTCAAGGGACTGCAATGTATCCAGTGACGTCAAAGATGTTTAAAAAGCCACATGGATGTCCAGTACGCCTGTAAACAGACCGTCCCCAGAGACGCTGCAGCATTCCTCCGGATTAGGCCATTAGCATCACTCGGCTTCAAACATGGTAATGTTGGACTGGGGGTTGGCGAGGAGGTGAGACACAACACTGTGCTATGTGTTGATGGGGTTCTCCATTTGTATTTGCATGCGCAAGTCTGTTCTTGGTCACACAGGAGACTCAGAAAAATCCAAGCACTTGTTTCAGCCTGCTGGGAGAACCATATGGGTGGGGTGTATTACCACAGAATCACCAACCAAATATGTATAATAAAGATCACTCAATTCTTTTAGACAGACATCGCATTTTGATTGGCCTCTGGTACTGTTTATAATTGATAATTGTTTCAAACCAAATCTTACAGACAGAAGCATCGATGATTTTTTATCTAGAAGATGTAAAATAAACTGTGGTGTTCCACAGGGTTCAATTGCCTGACCTCAGTTTTGAGCCGCACATTAAAAACATTACTAAGAATCATAAGATCATTTCTCTCTCAAGCCAATACAGAGACACTTATGCACCTTATTATCTCCAGGATTGATTACTGTAATGCTCTGCTTTCTGGTCTCCCAAAACAGTAATACATTTCAACTTCTTAAAAACACAGCTGCACGTGTTCTGACCAGATCAGAAAGACACCACACATTACACCAAGTTTACCTGTCTGCTTCATTTAAGATTAGGATCCTTTTATTAGTTTATAAGTCACTTAATGGTCCTGAATATTTATCAGATTTGCTTTTAGCTTATGAGCCTTTGAGAACCCCCAGGTCCTCTGGAAGTGGCCTTTTAATTATCCATAAAGTCTGGATAAAAACTCATAGTGAGACGTCCTTTTATTATTACGGCCCACGACTGTGGAAAAGCCTTCCTGAGGACCCAAGGGCAGCATGGAATGTTGATATATTTAAAAGCAAACTAAAGACCTATCTTTTTAAATAGGCTTTTAGCTGACTTGTATTTATTAAAATTTTATTTATCTATTTGATTCATTTATTTATTTATTTATTTACTTACATTTTAGTCTGTTTTACTGATACATTGTTTTATTTTATTCTTCTGTTGCCTTGTTTTAGTATTTTATAATCATCTTTATCTTTATTTTATTTTATTTTATTTTAATAACGTACCCTGCCTCTAGTGTTTCTTTCACTTTGTGTTCCATGACTTTTGTGTTAAAAAGTGCTATACAAAAGAAGACAAGCAAGATGGCCTACAGGCGCATTTCCAACAAACCATTAAGCGCTATGGAGCAATGTTTTTATGAATGGGTCCCCGATTTGTTTGTACTGTGCACATGGCCACACACACCTGCGAGACGTCGTTAACATGATATGCATTTGATTTGATTTGATTTATTAGGATCCCCATTAGCTGATGCAAAAAAATGCATCCGCTACTCTTCCTGGGGTCCACACAAATCACATAACAAGAATAGAGACACACTACACAATCAAAACACATGCAATCATTCATTCCTGACACTGATCAACAGTTGGCTGCGATAACATGCAAAGAAGTGTAACAATGCCGCAACAAAAACAAGGTAGAAGAATAATGCAAGCTAGCAAACGCAAATGACGAACGACTAAACGCTGGGGACATGTCTCCACCACTTTTTGAAATGGCTTTTTTAATTTGTTAAAAAACGTTCTGAAATATAGCTTGCAGTTAAATATCAGATGAAAATAACTTTAGAGAGGTTTTTTGCACATAAAGAAAACATGCAATGCAATCAAATGTGCATTATCCAAAAATAGTAATTTTAGCTAAAAAAAAAACAAGCTACCGATAATAGAATGACCCAAAAACGTGCATGCACCAATCATTAACTTTAATAACTTTAACTGTTTCTTTTTGGCCAAATTTCAGTTCTCCCCCGTGAACATGACAAAAGAGAGGGAAAAATTGAATCACTTCACTCAACCACTTTTCAACACAAAGTGACACCCTTCCATGTACTTAACACATTTGTCCGGCCTCAAGGATACATACAATGCATTTTGATGAGACACTTAACGTAAACACAACTTTTGTTTGTTTAGAAGAAAACTCGACAGAGCACCTTTAAGTCGGTTTCACGGTTTCCTGGAGGGAAGTGAGCTTAATGTAAGGAGGTATCCTCATTCACAACAGGTTCCTGAGCAGCCTGATGCTAATCTATCAGGTAATTTCCAACAAATATCACCATTTGTAACCTTTACACACAACACTTCTGTAATGCTTTTTAAAGTGTTCACTACACTAAGAGCAGCCTTACTTGCTGCACAGTATGTGTCATCCATCAAAAAGCGACCCTATTTACCTTTTTGAAAAGGGTGGCCTGACCTAGAATTAAAAACTAGGAGCGGAAAATGCCGAGCAGAATGGAAAACTGGGGTTCTCCCTTGTAAAGGCATGGAACTGCGTTTACTGCTCACTGCATTTTTCCACAAGGGAAAATTTCCACGCTCATCTCCCTGACAATACCGCTCTAGCACAACCCAGAACAACAAACTGTGAGTCAGCTGTGAAACCAACTGTGTGTCTCTGAGTGAGACATTAAAAATGTGTGTGTGTGTGTATATGTCTGTGTATGTGCTGTACGTGCACAAGAAAGTGTGTGTGTGTGTGTAAGGAGTCTTTCCGACATCTGCATTCCTCTGTTGGCTGCGACGAGGGGGGTGGGGGGTGCAGTGAAATAGCCCTTTGGGGAATAAACAGGAGACAGACAGATAAAGGAAGTCCTTCACTGTCAGTTGTTATTGGAGAAAGTGTGTTTGACCGAGCGTGTTTATATGTGCAGTTATATGTCTTCTATGCTGAAGATGAAGGGTGGAGTGCAGGGTTTTTCCTACAGCTGAGTATGTGGACTTTAGTCAAAACAAATCTCTGGAGGGAGAGGCAGCCAAGATGTTTATGATGAGTATCTGGTGCTGCTCTTGACCAAAAAGTCTTATAATATATATCGACAAATGTGGTAAATCTGTGCCAAAAATACTAAACTCTCACAGGACAATCACAACTGTCTGTCCTCTCAGTGCATGACCCCGTGCAACTGGACAAAAATATCACAATTGTTAATGTTCGCTGGAAAAATCAAAGTGCTTCTAAATCCTTGCTGTATATTCCCTCAGGACAGCAATAGCTCTTATTCTCTTTGTCACCACTATTTCCATTCATGGTTATGTTTATCTCTTTAATTATACTGTGCCATCATTGGCATATATTGTAAACAAAGAAAAATGCAAAGCCACATTTACTAAACTGTGTTCAAACTGTGCGTCTGTATCGTAATTTAGGGTTTACTGTTAGTATCCTGGTGCCTGGTGTGAGTCTTGATTTCCACAGACAAATTGCACTTATGGCTCAGAGATGAATTTGGTCTTTGGTATCTACACCACAAGAACTCAAATCAGACAATGTGCAGAGTGAATTCATCTGGTTTCAAACTCGCACTAAGACACTGAGAGTGAGCTGAGTGGACTGAGCTAGAACAGCAAATAACTGTGACCAACATGTCCAACAATCATCAGCAATGACTCATATCCAACAATGACCAGTACAGCCAATTATGGGCAATACACCCAGTTCATGTTCAAGCTACACAAGTTCATAAGAAAAGAGATATCGGTCTATTACTAGTCAAAAGATAATGTTTTTATAATAACTGTTGGCAGAAATCTCAGCTACAAAAAAAAAAAATATTTTGAACACAAGGAATTTTTGTTATTTTCCAAGAGATTTTAATTAGTGTTTGCCCGTTGTCATTCATTTAACCAGTAGAATTGTGTGTCACAAAAATACCATATTTTCATAAAATAATTTGATTTGTATTTCTGAGCATCTCGCCTAAAGTATCTGCAACCAACGGAAAAGTTATCAGGGGCCTACAGTTCTGACACTTGCACTCTGATTCCTTACCTTGGACTACTTGTAATTTAAGTTAAACTTTTATGAGGCTACATTTGATTGATGCAAGACACTCTGAATGAAAACAGCAGTTATGTTAATAAAAATATTTGGATACTCTCACTGGGGGGGGGGGGGCTAGATGTAATGATGAGTCTGTAACTTGTTGCTTACCCCAGCACAATAAGCTCTCCATACTTCACTGGCACTTTGGTGGAGGCTGTTGTGGAGATGTTTTCTTGCTCCGGGGAGTACATTGGGCACGGCTGATTAAGGCTTTGAGGAGGAGGGGAGGCAAGATCCGACAGGGCGAGGGAGACAGGAAGGGGAGAGGAGGGGAAGGGAGGGGGGAGGTGCTAATCGAATGGACCACGAGGGAAAGGAGGAGAAGGAAGGGGGAGGGTCAGCTGAGCCTCAGCTCCACCCTCGCATGCTTCATGTGTCCGTCTCTCGCAGCGCCACTTGTCCTGACCTGCAGAGTGACAAAGAAAGGATTAACACAAAGATTATTATTTTTACTGAAGTTTATGTTTCAGTTTTACGCATGTTTATGAAAACCTTCAAATGAATACTAGACGTGATTTAACCAGGACTGCAACTAACGATTATTTTCATTGTCGATTAATCTGACGATTATTTTCTTGATTAGTCGGTTAATTGTTTGGTCTATAAAATGTCAGAAAATGTGTTTCCCACAGCCCAAGATGACGTCCTCAGATGTCTTGTTTAGTCCAAAAAACCAAAAGATATTCAGTTAACTGTCATAGAAGATTAAAGGAACAAGATCTATTATCAAAATAGCTGGCAATTAATTTAATAGCTGACAACTAATCAAATAATCGGTTAATCATTGCAGCTCTAGTTTTAACATCAGTTCTTAGTTGAAGTCGTTAGGCTGTAGGCCATGTTCAGACAGAAAGGTACGTTGCTTCTGCAGTGATGCTAACACAGAGGACTCTAGCAAAAGAAAAACACAGGGTTGTCTAACAAAAATGTTTTACCTGGCTCAACTTTTTCAGCATGGCAATGCATTGACACTGTGATAGCGTTCCAGAGCTGTAATATCCAGTCTCATAGCATTTTTTTTGTTGAGTTTTGGCGTCTATCAAACCTTCGTGGATCTGTTATTAAAGACTGGATCAAGTCACTATCAATACAGCCCTCTCTTCCTTTTTAAACACAGAGTTGTTTTCTATCTGAATGCCCTCTACAGATGGGAACTGTTAAACAAATAGCTAAAAAAGGGTAAGGGGCATGTCAAATGGTGAGAATAGAAAATGAGGAAAACAAAACTATCCCTGAAAGCCCTATGTAGCCTAAGCATAACCAAGATATTTAGAGCTACTTTAAATGGCTAAACATGCTCAGAAAGTACAAATGCAAAATACACTCCCACGCACATGACCCCCCCTCAAGATTTTACTGCAACCTTTCAAATAAAAAGGCCTTCATTAGAACATCAGGGACGTGAATAAGGTCGGGAGTACATGTGACATTCCTTTTGCTGTGTGAGGTAGGTGTCTATAAATGCTGACTTTAGAGAATGACTCAAACACACACACAGCTTTTTAAATACACAGGAACTCACAGCGAGGAGCAGAGAAAAAAAGTGTGTGAGGAAAAAAAAAGGAGAGGATGGGCTTCCTGTTACATAAGGAAGATCTCGTGCACTCTCGACATCACGGGTTTACGTTACGCTCGTGGCCTTTCTTGTATGTATTCCTCTCTTTCCCACTCACTTGACAAAAAAAGCAGAATATGAATATGGTAAGCTGAGTAGAATAGAAGCAATAACAACATCACTTCACTTCCAGGCAGTCCTCCTCATCTGAAGCTGAATATTTCTGATACCATTCCCAGAGTGCCTTTCTGCTAAGAGAATGCAAAACCACACATGAATTAAGCATAGGAAGTAAAGTGTTTTGATGATGAGCAGGGATGGGGGACATCCTAAGCACTCTCACTGAGCACTGCAGAGCACAAAGGCTGATACGGTCCCATCAGACCGAGTGGGAGAAGTTCATACGGAGGACTTACAAGTAGGCATAATTCAGTATAGACGAAGGCGATGTACGTACGTATCATCAAAAATATGCCCTGTAGTGTAGAGACATGCTGGGAGGCTCTGTCCAGTGGTCACTAAACCTGCCTACCAGCACCATCACTAATACTAATCAGAAGCTCCAGTTTCACTTCAGTTCTTTATGGACAGACATTACACCGCCACCTCAAAAGGAACAAACATATTTCCCTAAATGTTAAACAGTTCCCACTCAGGAACAAGGAAGTTACAGGGTATCACCAGCCTAGCTTATGAGTTTACAAGTTTTGATACACTGTGGTCGGTAGTGGAGTTCCCAACTTTGTTTTGCAAGTCTTTACCTACTACCTAAATTGACTGATCAGTTAAATCTTACAGTAGCGGCCCCACAGACTGAGCTCCTGCTGGCACTATAATAGTAGACCAATCAGAATAAAAATGCCTCATGTAACCACCTCAATTAGAAGAAACTGGCCTGATCTGTCTCATCGTCTGTTTTTTAAGGTGATAGTTTATGTACATAATTTTCATAGATGGCAAAGAAAAGATTCCCTAAGTTCAACTTTTTCAGGGCTACAGCCTCACTTAGTTGGCTGGAGATTATTATTATTATTATTATTGTTTATTTTGACATGTCTGAGCACACCCGTCTTCAAAACATTTGTGTATGGAGTAGGGCAGGGTGATATGGACCAAAAAATCATATCCTGGTATTTCTAGGCTGATTTCCGATGCACGATATTTATCAGTTTTTCCTGCGAAGTGGGCTAAAAGTAAAGTGGGCTAAAATGTGTCGCCAAATATACTTACCTACCTGGGAAGCCACTAATATACCTAGGCGTCTGCTAATATATCTGGGTGTAGTAGAGTAAAGTCTGACTGAAACATTGTTTTTCTTTTTACAAACAAGGTCTTCAGCAGTGCGGACCGACACTATGTCTCCCTCTATGTTGATCATTTGTGAGCTAGAGGGGGGGCTGCGTGCAGACGCAGATGGACGGGGGTGGCGTTAAGCAGTGAGGAAGAGAGAGGCACAAACGCTGGAAGGACTTTATGGAAAAATTAATGAATTAACTCAACATCAAACGATATATCTACTTTCAGTATTCTCAAATGTTATATCTCTTTTGAAAATATATTGGTATATCTTATAATACCGATATTCTACCCAGCTCTAGTATGGAGTGCGCGTAAAGTCTTAATTTTACATACTTGTGTAAAGGGCTGTCGCGATAACCGCAAAATTGAGATACCGCGCTATTGGTGAAGCCTACCGCGGAGGATGGCAAGCACCGCAACAACCGCAATGTTCATACTTTACACTATAAATAAATCAGTGCTTCAAATGTTCCACAACCGTAACGAGCTCTGTAACGGTTCAAGGACGGATCGCAATGGGCTGTACGTGATCTGGCTTCAAACTTGGAAGCTGTAAGTGCTGCCGTGTTTTGTGTTGTTTTACTGTTTATTTTAAAGGTTAACTAACTTGGCGTTAGCATATTGCGTGACTAATGTGGCTAGCAGGCTTGGCGATGTTGGACTAACGTTGTGATCCTGAGGGACAGTCGACAGAAACTGTGAACGCTAAGCTTCATTTGAAGCTCGATAACTAACGAGCGTAGTGTGTCGGATGCCTGCAGCTATTTCATGTTGCTTTCTGTGGAAATTTAGTTATACAGTTATAAATGCTCCAAAATGCTCTTTCACTGTCAAACCAATTTGAAATGATACTTAAACAATAAGACAAGTTACTTAAATGAACATATAGCCTCCTAAAACAATCTTAGGAAATGAATCCTGTAGAAAAAACTCTTCAGAAAATCAAATTGTTTGAATACCTTATAGATGAAAATGTTCACACTTCCAACAGCTTATTTAAGTTGGACTGGCCTGTTTTAAAGTGTTAAACTGTTTAACAGCCTCACACTTGAAGAATTAACACTGAGTTATAACTAATCACCATGTCTCGCTCCCAAAGTGTTAAAATTGTGTTAACAATAGATCTATTTTCAGTGTATCACACCATCAGTCTATCTGGGAACTATAGACAGCTTCGTCGCACATGGTGAGAGGGAGAAAAGAGGGAGGAGGTGAAACAGTAGTGGTAAAGACAGAAATCAGGGTTGTATACATTTACGTTAACACAAGCACTTCATTTAGTTTATCCAACAACCTCTTATGGAGATATTTCAACAGGAAGTAAGAATGGTTGTGAATCTTTTCAGGGTTTTCTAACAGAGGACAGTGAGGTTGGGGTGAAGGGAAAGATGATTTACTCTGGATGGAGGCAATAAAAGCAAAGACCTGGAAGTTGTGTGCGTGAAGAAGGGGGAGGTGAAGACGGGTGTGTTCGATGTAAGCCTGAGCCCCACCTGCTCCTCTGACATAAGGGGTTAATCCCACTCACACACATGCAGCATTGTCGGTGCACACTAAAACACTTAGCTCTAAACTGTGTGCATGTAAAATCCTCTCTGTACACACACACGGACACAATCAGCAGTGTCAAGGGAGCTGTTGGCTGCCAGGAATTGATTTTTTACCTATGGACCCAGACACTGAAGACCAGAAGAAAAATCAGAGTGTGGAGGGTCCTGTTATTGAATGTCAAGAGTGCTGAATTATCTTTCTGTCTCAAACCTACCATCATCAACAACTCAAAAACAACAGCTGCCACTCCAGCGCCCACGTCTTCCTCATTCTTTGATCACAAACAGTCTTCCTTCTTGCTTTCTCCTGTGTAGTTCAAAGACGACAACTCACCCAGCCCAGTCCCTCCGGAAATAATGTTCATACTGGACTATTGTTTGGCAGAGCGTTGTGCATAGAAGCCAAAAGTATGATGAAGAGTTTGGGAAACATTAAACTTTAACATCAGAGACTGATTTCCATCGAACTAATAATGCCCACAACACTAACGACTTTTTATATTAACAATAATGACTGGTGGAGTAATAATAGGTTTTTTAATTCAACTTTTAAATGCTCTACTTGATCCACTTTGCTTGTACAAGCTATGTAAAATGTTTAAATGAGGCTTTTGCTGACATAAAAACATGCATTTTGTATTTTTAATTACTGATAATGAGAATGGTTGAGGAATTTTCTTGCCTCACCAGTACACATGTGTTATGTATGGGCGTGTATATAATTCTTTAAGTGTGTGTGTGTATGAATAAGCTCTTAGCGTCTGCAGCTCTGCATGACACAGAGCTCGGTGTGGCTGCATGCCAACTGCTGCTTAGCTACGGAGACACACAGTCCTACAACAATAGATGTAGAGCTCGGTGAGACTGAATTTGCTGGCCAGGGTCAGGGATTGTAACAGTGTCCTGCTGACAGCAACCTCACACTTATAAAAGCTCTCATAAAACTTAACTGCAAGGTGGCACGGACGACACCTGCCATTCCCACTGGCTGCCAACAGAGCA